CTTAGGAACTCTCGCCATGTTTCATCCTTGCCCGAATCCACAAGGACATTTGGATTTCCTATTACGATGACCCCCTCCTTGGCTCGGGTCAGGGCAACGTTGAACCGCTTCTTTTCACCTACTAAACCCAAACCAAGGGCTTGGTCTTGCTTTACAAACTGTTCACCAGGCCGGGTGCGAGTTGTGCAAATGATGAGAAAGCGGGTTTCAAGACCCTGGAATGCCTCCAGCGGACCGATGTTGACCGAGTGAAGGCTGTGGGAGCGAAACACGTGTCTGAGGTGCGCAACTTGAGATCTAAAGGGGGTTATGATGGCAATCTCCTTGGGGTGGATGGCCAAGGATGAGACTGATTCTGAGGCGTCGTTGCTGAGTTGGTCGGAATGATGAAGGAGTGACTTGACGTAATATAACGCCAAATAGGCTTCTCCAGGGTTGAATACCCCATTCCCTGCGGACCTGTGGAGGAGTTCTTCTACTTTGTCTAGAGAGGAGTTACAGCTGAAAAGAACTGGCCAGCGGTGAGGGTCCTTCCACTCAGGCCAAGTTGGAACGGGCCCGTTTGGATCAGCGGGGGTAGCACAGGGGATGAGGGTGTCACTGTAGAATAAGACGGAAGGGACGGGTAGAATGGCAGGGTGTGAGCGATAGTTACGAGTTAGGTTGGTAAATGCGGGACGTTGGATCGGGAGCATCTCTTGCACGAGTTTCTTGTACGGCCCTGCATTCCGACGTGATAGTGGATGATCTGCGTAGAAAGGACAGGAGAAGAGTCGCTCAAAGAGTGAGATGGAGAGGGAAGTGTCGTAATTGTGGATCCGAGGGCCTAGCTGGTAGTGATCTCCTGCCATGACAAACAGTGGTAGGCTCGATTTATTGTGGGCAGGCTCATGGATGATAGGCAATGGGCTGGCCACTACCGTTAGCGGAATACATATTGCCGGTTCCGTGTCATGGGCCGCTTCATCGATCAGTAGAGCGGTCCAGTGAAGCATGTCTTCGGCCTTAACAGGAACCTTGGACGAAACTGCAGCCACGGTTTCGCATGCAAGTTTCATTAGGTCGCGATTGGTTAGACGGGCCTTGACGAGCATGTCTGCATCTCTGCAGGTAGTGACGATAACCTTGTATCCCATCATAGCTTTGAATCCGGGAAGAGAGAACATGTCGTTATCTATGTATGTGTATGGTAGGAGTGCACTTGGCACCTCAGCAAAGGTCCTTGCCCATCCGTTCAGACGGAACATTTCTCCCGGTTTCAAGTGGGGGGCAAGACGAGTAGCTAGAGTATCAGCAGCGGGATTAGAAGGCGCACAGAGTAGGATGTGCGGTTCGATATCTGAGGAGCAGTTTAGTAGCTGCAGGGTACATTCCACGACTGTTTTTGTCTTGCCGGAACCGGGGACGCCAGAGATCAAGAAAGGAACGTTGCCATAGTTCCTGGATACTATGGAGTCCACAGCCTTCATTTGTTCGTAATTGAGGTCCGGATCTACCCACTCGAGGTCAAAGATGCCCTTGGGTAGAGCATGTTGCATGAAGCCATAATGTGGCTCCGGGAAGAGCATATGGCGGAACCAGTTGGACTCGTCCTGAAGGTTTCCTGAACATCCTCCGGGAATATAATTAGAAGACTGTGGCCAGTTCCAGCCGTTCTCAATGCTTGTAAGAGCCTCCCAAAGCGGTACATAACGGTTAGGCTGGACAGTGAAAAGTATATTGGCAAGCCAGGATGAGTATGCGGAGTTGATAGTCATGTCAAAATGGTCAATTCGCAACCTGACTACTTCCTTGGTTCTGGACACACCCACTACTACTGCGTGAAGCTGCTGGCCATTGAAACCTGGGGCGATAGAACCAGTAAGAGTAGGTTGATTGCTTGCAAGCCACTCTACCCCCCTTGTCATCTGGTTTGGAGAATGTAGAATCTGGCGGACAAGGATTGTGTCCCCAAGCTCGATGGCTGGAGTATCATCCTTGAGCCCTGGTACTCTGATCTCAAATATGCGGCGTTGCAAGTCAACAAGGGCAATAGGAACATTATAAAGACACAGTTGCGCTAGGTCTAGGGTCTGCTGGTAGGCCTCGAGCAAGAGGCACTCGTCGAAGTAGTAGAGGTAGGTGGACGGGACCAAATTCGTTACGTGGAGAGACACAGAAACTGGAACACTCTTGATAGGGGGCATGGCATGGGAAGGGGCAGGTTCAAGAAAAAGATTGCCAGCAAATTGCTGGCGGTATGCATTGAAGTCTATAGTCTTCAAGGGTACAGTATATTTACTCACAGCCGGAGAACGATTGATGGCCAGCAGGTATGCTGGGGTGTATGGCTGGGCAAATAGATGTGGTGTCCATGATGAAAGGGATCCCTGTGACCGAGGACCATGAAAGCGAGCAGGTCCAGTAGTAATCTTGGTGCTGGACGTTGGAGTTGGAGGAGCTAGAGACGGAACTGGAGCCGAAACTGGAGCTGGGTATTGCACGGCCCGAGAATTGTTGGCGGGATGTCCGCTAAACTGAGACCTGTATGGGGAGAAGTTGGGTGTCCTGAGCTGCTCGGCAACATTCACCGGCCGCCCAGAAGGGTCTATGATGGGGATTGCAGCTCTCCTTGGCCGTGAGTGATCCATGGATAACATTAGGATATCCAGGCTGGTGCGTAAACGGCCAAATCGGTTCAATCAACAGCCCATCTCATCGGTTGAAGGGGTTTTTTTGATGTTAATTTTGATTTTAATTTTGATTATTCTTTTTCCCTCTTCACAGAGTTCCTTGTGCCCTCGTGCCCTTGTTTGGCCTGATATCTATGCAGGGAATAGAACAAAGAAAACAACGGAGACGAAAGCGAGGTTTATTCCTTGGAAAAAAGGGTTTCAACCCTAGTTAGAGTCCACTGAAGAAGGCTCAAGAGGAGGCCTGAATGCTGGAGAGATGCAGCGAGGACTGGCCACCAAGGCGTGAGCAGGACAAGAAACAAGGCTGTCTTGTGAGTAGTTAGTTGCCAACCGAACCAGAGACACACAACTCCGAGAAACGGTTTCACCACGCGGCCAGACCAGAGAGCCCCCCAACCTCACCCGGCACACAGCCTTGATATCATGGACGCCGCTTGAACGTGAGAAGCAAAAGAAGTGAGAGAAATAAAACAGGAGACGAAGGAGGAGAAGAAGCCGAAGTGAGGATGTTGTCTTCTGATGTCCTTCTTTGATGGGCGCCGAAAAGGGTAATCGACGGCCCTTTGTTTCTCCGGCGGCTCAAGTGGCTTATGTAAGTGTGACTGCCCTTGCATAAGAAATCTCACACGGAACCGGCGGCGCATGAGGCACGCTGCGCCCAGCCAGTAAAAGAGGGAGCCAGAGAAGAAGGGAGGAACTGTGGCTTTTTCGGTGACATTTTCCCGCTGTCAGGCTGTCCAACGTGTCGGTTCCTGAACGAAAATGGCGACTTCTGAGTGGTGGACATGGGAGTCACTTTCAAAGACGACAAACTGGCGCGGCTTTACCATCAGATAAGGTCGCATGGCTCAGTTGGTTAGCGCGTCGTACTAATAATGCGAAGGTCGAGAGTTCGACCCTCTCTGTGACCATCTGTTTTTAATTTTTGTTTTTTTAATTTTTTTGTCAGAGCAGTCGATAACCATAGGCAGCGAGGAGGATATCGCCATTTTTTATTTATTTATTTTATATAATATTTTCACTAAAAAGACAGTGCAGTGATGGACATAAGCTGTTGTATAGTAAAAAAAAAACAAAAGACAAAAAAGAACTGGTCACAGAGAGGGTCGAACTCTCGACCTTCGCATTATTAGTACGACGCGCTAACCAACTGAGCCATGCGACCTGTTTCCATGGAGACCTTGGCCCCTTGGTTGGTCTTAGTCACCGCGCTTGCTCATCCTTTCCCTATTGCCCCTTTTGTTTACTTACTGTCAGAAAAGGGAAGCTTTTTATACTGACCTCGCGACAGCTTCAAGTCAACCACCGAGACCGAGTCAAGTCAAAAAAGATGGCCAGCTATCAAGATCTGCATGCCAGTCCTGCTTGTCGCTGCTCCCCGCCAATCACCAGACGGCCCTTGGCTGAGCGGTCAACCGTCGATGTCAGGGATGGCCAGACAGCGTGCTCTTGGCTGGTTGCCTCGCTGGAAAGTTGGCGGGCTTCCCGCTTGTTGGAGGTCAACAGCACAGGTGTCGATGGAGAGGAAAAAGGGTGAAAAAAAAAGAGGTAGTCATTCCAGCAAACCCGTTATTATTATATACTGCCAGGTGCTGACTGTTTTTTAATCAAGAGAATATAAACCTCAGCCGTCTTACCCATCGTTTGGCTGCAAGTCGTCAACTCGCGCAGGGGAGGAAAAGCGACGTCGTTTGTCATCGTTGCGGGCGCCACTTTTCGCTGGCTTACATAAGCAAGGAGAAGGGAAGAGGCACAAACCTGCGCCAACATCAAGCGACGACTCCATCATCATCGTCCGCCTGCAAAGGGACGCAGAAGAACATACGGAAGAGTCGAGAAGTCACGCCGGACGGACGGACGGACGGCCAGCCTCAAGCCAGTGAGACAGACGACGGCAGAACGGGGCTCCTCAAGGACCGATAGGCTGCATCATCTCGCCATGCACGGCTGCTCCCGCGACTCTACTCGTGTGGCAACCGGCTAAGGTACTCCCACGGAAGCGTTCCAGAGTACGGAGTAGTCAAACAGCGCACGCAGACAGACAGAGAACGCAGAGACAGCCAGAGATATATAAGGATATAAGTAACGACAACGACGCAAGGAGTGGCAGGGAGACAAGGGTCGGTCTCCGTCACAGGCCAAGGCTAGCCCTCTCTGCTGTCTTGTCCTGGTTTCTGGGGGACAAGCGCTTCTCTTCCGCCCCCCGTTTGAACCGTTTTACGGAGCACTATATCTCTAAACAACCTCGCATCATTTTGACCGTTCGTCCTTTTGTACTTTTCGATCCATATACAGCACTACCTTACGACAACTTCCTTCCCCACCATGGTGACTCCGGTGGAGTCTCAGCACCCAGAGTCAATGGCCTCCTTTGCGCCGACAAGACACTTTATCCGTGTCTCGCTCGCCTGTGTCCAATGCCGATCGCGGCATCTAAAGTGCGATGCAAAGGCCCCTCGGTGCTCTCGCTGCCAAACCGATGGGAAGCAGTGCACATATCTCAAGTCCCGCCGTGGTGGGCGTCGCAGACCGACCTCTTCTCCCTCCCCTGTGCCCGCAGACCTTCCCATGCAGCACGCTGCTGCCTTGCCGCCGCCCCCAGACTGTGCCTCCCTTCCCGTACCAGACGAAAACATCTTCAACGATGCCTACTGTGGAGTACCCAGATCCATTCCAATGGTGACGCCCACCCGGGGAAGTACTAGCAGTGGCAGCAGCCCAACTACCAACTCGGAGGCGCAAATAGAGGACCTGCTCAACATGTACTACAAGTACTTTCACATCTCACACCCCTGTGTCCTCCCGCGGTGGTCCTTTCAGATACGGCTGTCCCAGGACCCGGCTACTCTGCGCCCATTGCTACTGACAATGCAGTATATTGGCGCCCTCTTCACTCCTTCAGTCACTTCCTCTGCCTTCGAGCCAGAAGTCCTGCAAGCTTTTGCAGACTTTAGAGCTTCCGGCGCAAAGCCGACTGGTTATCATGTCCAGGCTTGGCTGTTGTACTCTGTGGCTGTATATTGGTGTAATGAGATCGAGAGAGGCCTCAAGCTACTCGATGAAACAATTCGAATGGCCCTCGACCTAGGGATGCATCTGGATTCCTTCGCGCAACGGTATGGTGAAAATAACCCGCTACTAGAAGAGAGCTGGAGGCGGACCTGGTGGCAGCTATACGTCATTGATGGACATGTTGCCGGAAGTACCCACACTTTCCCATTTAGAACAAGCCACATACAACCAACAACTGCTCTTCCCTGTGAAGAAGAGCTTTACGAAAAAGGGGTATGTTTTATTCTCATACACTTGCGTCGATGGTGGACTTATTATATAGAGTACATGTTAACCTTTTCTTTTTCAACTGGGCTGCAGGACATTCCAAAGCCGAGAACCTTGTATGAGTACGATATGCGTGAGTTTGCAGATGATGAAGACCAAGATTTTTCATCGTTCGCGCATCTCGTTGGTCTTACTCGTGGGCTGGACCTAGCCTTATCTGGGCGTCGGCCAAACAACCCAGACCCACCCAGTGTCGTATGCTCCCGCGTAGACACATGCATGCGGGCGTGGTGTTCGCTTATACCTCCGAAAAAACGATGTCTTGCCCGGGAAGATGGTACAATTGACGAACAGCTATTTAAAGCAAACATGCTCGTCCATACGTAGGTTTTTTTTCTTTTTCTTATTCCTATTCTTTGTTTTGGCACATCCAGCTGTGTCCAATGACATCAATGTAGACCGTAATATACTGATGATTAATAGATATATCGTTGATCTGCACCGTGAGCTATCAAGTTTGTCCTACAGCCCTATCGAGTCTGTGTCAAGATGTGCCCCACCAGCACCCGCAGATGCCAACAATCCAAACAAAACGCCCAAGGATGTTCAAATACACACATCAAAGGTTCTGCTTGCTGTGGATAAGTTTAACGATCTCCTCACCCTCCCAACAACCATAATATCACATACTCCCTTCGTCATCTGCATGATTGCAAACACAACCATTGCCCATCTCTCGGCTTGCAAGCACCTCTACCGTGACAAGACTCTGCAAATAGAACGAGAGCGTATCCGCTTGAACATGGGCGCTCTCAAGACTCTTAGCATGTACTGGCCGTTAGGGAAACGGACGTACCGCGAGATGGCTACTATTGCCCGTGACATCCTGTCGCTCACCGACAGAGACATCAGCCCTATAAGTAATTCAGACAGAGCAGCCGTCAGATCTCTAGATACCACACCACCCGCAGTGCAACCCAGCCCTCCACCACCACCTCCAGCTGCTGCTACTGCTCCTACCTCTGCTCCTACCATCGCCCCCACACAAGCACCAATCACAGCTCCTCCAAACCCCGTCATTCATAACCATCATGACCAACAACCAGCAATGATACCAAATACTACCTCACATGGAGTAATAATGCCTCATGCCCCTCCAGCTTCCTATCCCGATGTTTTATCTTTCGACTTCAACGGTATCTTTGATGTTGGTGATTTGTTTGACAAATCCATGACATATGATTATTCCGTGTTGTCACTTCCATCGTCCGTAACACAGGATGTATCTTGACCCATGTCCCAAGACCACGATTAATGCCCGAAAGTACTGTTGGTTTGTTTAGCTCGATTCATTTTATTCTTTTCTCTTTTTCCCTTTGGTTCTTTTGAATATGCCGCGTTTATATATATGCACCTAGCTATGCTCTCCGTTTGGATATCCCGAGTGATGGTTTTGACGAACTCATCTCTGTTTTCATTTGCCCTTTCCTGTATATTTAACAAATCATTTTGAACACGTTAATATATCCATTCCAGCATGCATGAATATATCATTCGCTCGCTGATCATTGCTATGCAAAAGAACCCTTCAGCCGGAAAGGCAGAAACAAGATCGCAAAAATCCACGGACGAGAAATTCGATCCTTCAGAGCGAAAGCAACTTGGGAGTCGTTGAACTAAATAAGGTTGTTCCGGCTGACTAATACCCGGATCGCCGAGGTCGCTTAACTTGGCGCCGCGCTTAAGGCTATCAAAACTCAACATCAACCAGGGGAAAATGTTCCGTTGGGATAGTGTTTACATGTGTCGATACCACTCTAGGGACTCCTACCGGGCCTGCCTGGACCGTGGTTACCTATCAATTGTCCTGGACACTCCGATTCACCGATAATACTCCTTGACGGCTATTTCGGCACAGGGCCTTTTTCTCAGATTCGTGTCGAATATGACATATAAACGCCACTGAAACAATAGCATCAATTCATTGATCGTTACTAGCTAATACACGAAATATGAAACAATACACCGCTAGATCCCTTATCATCAGCTATTCCTCATCGGTAAACACTAGCTCCTCGTCTTCGGGATCAAAAATCCCACCATGCACATTGTTGAGATGCTCGTAAATGTCCGTGTTTCGAGCATGTTTCCCACAAAAATAGCACCATTCAGCCTTACAATGGCGGACCGGACATGTTATATGTGCACACCCAGCGATCTTTTCCGTCATCACACCGCATTTAGGGCATGGTTTGACCTTGCTCATTCTTTTTGCCATGATTTCCTCGCGTAGGGTAGCAGCCACCTCGGCCGCGTTCTCTGCAGCTATCCGCTCCAGCTCCAGCTCTTCCTCCCGTTGAACGCATTCCGGACAGTTCCAGTTGGATACTTCGGGAGGTGCACCGCGGGCACATTCTCGCTCCATGAACTGCTTGGCTGAGGAACAAGCAATGCACCATGCGTATATCCATGTTCCTTTCTCTTCAACTGCCTTGGAAAGGTTTGCTATCGCTTGTACACCCATGGCATAGTTCGCTAGGGTCTTTGCAGAAGGTAGTCTTCTGCAGAACGGACAGGAGAGAGCGCCGACGTTCAAGATTCGACCTGCTGAATTGAGCCCGTACCAGCCTGATAGACAGTCGCGGCATACGCGTTGGAGACACCCGCGACGGCCACATGCTGGGTTTAGCATGTCAGGGCGGAAAACTGAGAAGCACAACGAGCAATTCTCTTTAATTGTCTTCAGACGTGAAATAAGGTCCTGCAGAGTGGAAATAAGCTCGGGAGTGTTTTGTATCTTCTTCCCCTTCAAAGTTAACACGCCCTTGGTCATAGGGAACAGCGTCATTCGTGATACGAAATTTTCTGTTCCGTACGTGGAGATGGTGTTGAATAGTGAGCGGCCTGTGAAGGGGCAGGTTTCCGGGTTCTGGTTATCGCAAATCAACCACGAGTACGAGTTCTCAGCTGAGATCTTCTTTGCAGTCGTTTCTATTTCAACTACCGTTTCCCGTCCAGCGTTGCAGTGTGTGCAAGTGAACTCCGAAGTACGAAGTGACGATGGACGGTATTCCACAGGCCAAATGAAGCGGTTCGTACACTTTATACACTCAATCCAAGGGGCATCTGGATGCAGCTGTCGTGGCTTAGGTGGGTTTGCGCTTTGGGCTCGACAGTAATGACACTTTGCTCGAACATTCAGCGAGGCAACATCATATACCACGTACTGTGCTCTGCATGTCTGTATACAGCATTCCACCCAGGTCGCTGGTGATTCAGGGCCGTCGTCCATGGAAACATTGATATGCAAAGCTTTCTTATATGCCGTATCCTGACTGGCATACATGCATAGACCGCATTTGCTGTTGCGGTCCATAATACTGACTGAACGTGGGTATAGACATTCTCGACAAGTGACGGTAGGTCCCAGTGGTGCTGTGGTCTTCCCAGGGGTCCAACCCACCTTTGCAGCCAATGCACTATCGAGGTTCACTTCCAGCATTCTATAAGCAATAAGCTGCTCGAAAAGCTTTCTATCATTTGGCTTCAAAAGTGTGGTTGGTTTCTTCTTGGACCGGCCAGGGCTTTCGGGTTCTTCCTCAAGGCCAGCTCGTCGTTTGATATACGCATTATCTGCGCTAATTAGCAGATTCAAACATGGAACCGACCAAGTCTCAGGTACATCGAGGTCATTCCACTTATTTCGGAAGCTGAGTGTTTCCCGTTCAGCTACGTCAGTGAGGGGAGTAATGCCCAATCGCAGACTCAGTGCAGCTAGGAGAGCTGCAGGACGCGCTGACAGCATCGTCCCGGGGACAATGAGATGCAGGAGTATTCTCCAGAATTGACGTTTATATTCTCCTCGAGCTAATACCATAGGAATCTTTGGGACGTCTTCATTGCTTGAAGCTGCAATGTGTTCGGGTAAATCTGCCTCTCTTTCAACGTACGTCAACTGAGTGAGGATCCGTCCAAGTCGTCGGAGAACCGAAGGGTCGCATGATCGGCCAATTTCTAGCAAATTAACTCTAGTAAGGGCAGTGATGGGCTTTCCAAACTCATCTTCTGCCTCTGCACCGGTCGGAGTAAAGTCAAGAGTTGGATCGAGGTATACACAGGGGAACTTTTCCTCCTTGGGAACACTGTCGAGGAGCTCGAGGACCTCTGCCCTATAGTCATACGAGGCTTCCAACCATATCTTTAACTGTTCTCTGTCTTCTGCACTCGCAAGCCTTCCGACCTCTGCGCTAAAGACATCCAGAAGCTCCTGTCGTGAGTCACAGGTTCGATCACTGCAAATTGTCCTCCATAGGCTTCCGAAAACCGGGTTTACAGCTATCGCCCTGACATCGAACTCTATGATTTTGTTTATGTGTTTGAGTGCTAAAGACCGATATGCTGGATCCGTAGTCCAGGCCGTGGCAAAGTTGGTGACTGGCACATCCTTCTTTGGGAGATATTTCCGGGCAATGTCAGGGGTCATTGGTACTCTTGCAACATTCTCTTCGATACTATTATTCTTGCAAGAGCCATAGCTGTTCAAGGCGATGGGGAAGTACATTTCCGCCCTGGGATCGAGTTCATGATTGAGTTTCTTGATATAATCGACGCATTTGTAACGGCCCAGAGTTGCTAGTGCATCTTTTTTGGCAGCCTCATCGCTGTTGTCTTTCTCTATGGTGTCCTTGGTGATCGCCTTGTTGGCCGGCTCAACCCCCATCCACGACAGCAGCAGATCGATGGTCACTTTGGAGATGGTTCCCGGAATCGAATTCTCGAGAATCATACAGGCGCCGCGGGTCATGGTCGATAAATAATTGTAGTGTCCGCAATCTTTCCAGCTCATTGAAGGTGATAGCAAGCAAAACACCTGCACAGGTTTCTCTCCTTTGCGCATAAACTTGCATGCTGCAACCCAGTCCACGAAATTTGGGCCGTATCCGCCGTACGATGAAGGCTCTGACAGTGCGTTTTTCTCAAGTACCCCATTGGGGACATAAGAGTGGCCGCCACGCCTCACAGGCGCTTCCCCAGCTCCAAAATGGGGATAGGCATCGGTATAGAACAAGAGAGTGGTCTTTGCATCCGCACGCATCAGCTCATATGCCCTCGCAAGCGCAGTCTTTGCAGCTTCAGGAGCATCTCCACCGCCGGCTGCTTCCAGTGACTTTGCTAGAGCGAGAATATTGGTATCATTCGCGCCAGCCCCTTTAGACTCTTCCTGCCAGCCTGACCATTCCAGCAGCTGGGCATCGCAGTAGTCTCGGTATGCAAGCAGTCCAATGCGAGAAAAGCATCCCGTGAGAGCAGAGATGGAGATGATCTGAGGAATAGAAGTGTTGAGTGCAGTCAGATATTGGCCCATAGATGCTGTAGCATCCACCACTATCAGCAGGTCATGCTCCATGTTGGGGAATATTTGATCGCCCACGGGGATGCACTCTGTATATTCTAGTAGCGATCTGCCACGAAACGAGACAAGACCTTAAATAGTTATTTTATTGTTCAGAAAGAAAGAAAGCGGGAATACAGAGGCTGGGTGTATTTATCTTGCCTCGAGACTCCTTGACTCATTGAGGCTCTGTAGCTTATTGCATTGTAGTGTCACAGGAGGAGGCCCTGCCATAGATACGAGATCAACGACCTGATAACTTAACTGGTTAGTCAATGTCCCCCGCTAGATGCATCAAAGGGGCTGAGCCACCCCCGAGGGACGACAGACAGGTCGACTCGTCTAATCTCATCCTAATCAGAGCTGACAGCGCAGTCGAGTCACACTGGTGGCGTTGTCGGTTACTAGGAAGTTAACTAGTCACTTGGCCTTCTAGGGCCCGGAGTCTGTATATAGAAAGCGACATGTATCTGAGCAACGATTAACCAACTAGTTAGGGGTTTCGGGTAGAAGGGGAGGATGCAGGTGACTCAAGTAACTCAGAAGCAAGTCATAAGATAACCATTAGGTATACAACACTGAGTCACTAGAAGCCCCTGACTCCATGCTGTGCCGACTGTATTTTTACGCATCTGCATGGCACTGTATGTTTTCATCAGTAGAATCGTAAAAGAAGCCTGAGCCTGAGCGTGAAAAATTTACCCACGGACAACTTGGTCCAAAATTAGGGAGTAGCTTGCGGGGTGCTCTACTGCCGGTGGTGGAACAAGCTCGTGTTTGATGCACACACTGTCCTTATCCCAGTATCCCTCTATGCTCTACTCCTGATAGTATTGAGGCGCAGAGGGACATTTATTGTTGAGAGTGCAGCCGGACCTTTATAGATGGAGATGCATATGAAATACCGGCGACTTACCACTGTGCACAATTTCTATTACTGATATAATATGAAGGCGGCTCAATTGACCTCACGGGAGGCGTCTGCCATTCGCTGTAAATCCAACGGCCGCAACTTTAGGGAAATGTTTTATAATTTCACGCAGGCCTTACACCCATCATCCCGGGTGCAATGTGGGTGCTGTTTCCTGTGCTGAAGCTTCATGTTCGAATGATCTTACCGAAATAACCCTCTTTATAGGCAGAGGGGACTGTATTTAACATGTTTATGGCTAGGAAACGGTTGATGTCATGTCGGCTATCTTGCTTCGACTACGCTTGGCTTCTTAATGGCGATGTCCCTTTAGGTTGATTTAGGCAAAGTCTTAATCCGGGATTGTTGAGCAATGTTATCACTATGTATGATGGACAAAATTAATCGTTTCCACCGGAATAGCCAGCTTCTCCGAAGTCATAATGGCCGGTCTCGGATGCGTGGGCGGTGGCACCCTTTTCACCAACAAAGAGTCCTCCACAAACGTTGCATTTAACTTGGAAGTTGGTGGTGTCGGTATAATAGTGTTTCTCATTTAATATCTGACATAGCTCTATGGCTTTTTCCAAAATGATCGGGTCCGAGGAGTCAAATATCCTAGTGTCAAACTCCGGTGGAGCATATGCATGGGTGTAGGGTTCATCGGACGGAGATAAGGCAACGGTGTCGTAATGAATACCCGAGTATACCACGATGCAGCGGGTAGGGCAACCCTCGTTGAATCGGTCTATGCGCAGAGTCTGAACATCTATTGAGCATATTTCAATATCAAAGTGCTTGCTGAGGACGCCAAGCTCAATTCCACCCCCCCAGGCATCCTCAGTCTGAATCCAACGGCAGTAGTCATCAGGGGCCTTTTCCAAAACTGCAGCAGTGTAGAAGTCTGGCTGTTCTTGAATGCTTTGAGCGACGATAGACCGCAGTTCGGTCATGGTATCAATTGCGCCTAGGACTGCACTGCCAACGGCACGGAACAAACATGAGTTGTCATCAGGCATGACCCGAAGGACAATCGTTCCCCCATGCTCAGGAGAGGGAATCTCTGGTGCATTGTCTTCTATACTGCTCTTCTTCTTGGTGAGAGAAAGCGGTGCTGCTGGTTCTATCCTTTCCTGTTCAGATGATGGCTCTGGCTGCGGTGCAGGCTCCTCCCGCTTACTCACAATGAGCTGCTCTCCATTCAGATTGACGCCTATATCTTTGATCTTAGACTTGGCATCAAACTGGCTAAGAAGGAGAGACTGCGGTGGATATCCGTACTTTATATCGTATGATGATAGTGAAGTCGCTCGACTGATATTGTCCAGCAGCTCCTCCACCGTTGCCGTGTCCTCCAGAGTGACAGTAGACTGGCCATTAGGACCACGAATCCGAAGTCTCATACTGGCACCCTCGGCACTCGCAAAACTGTGAATAAGAATAAATGTCTAAGAATATCAGTTTTGTCTAAGAATATCAGGAATATCAGTTTCTTGCTCGTCCTCCTCGTCGTCCAAGTTTGTTTGTCCAAAGTTGGGGGATATTAAGGTTTGGCCTCGCGCCAAGCTCGCTTAACTAATCGCGGCTAAATATAAATCCGAAATGATCACATGACTTAGACGCGGCCCAGTAAAAAAAAGAAGTTCGCGATTATCGGAACTTGGACCTAATTCGAGCTTTGCTGAGGTCACTTTCACTCCACTGCGACTTGACTGACTCGCTTTGTTCAGGTAGCTCGTCGTCGCGGGCTTTACTACGCTGAGAACACGTCTAGCTATGGCGGAAGATAGCTCTGGCGGTGCTGCCAGCATCGAGAATCAGCTGCGGGAGGCTGCGCAGGAGCCGGCAGCTGAGACTCCTGGGGTAGTCGAATCGATCGAGAGCTCCAAGGCCGCCGATGCGCCTGCCAGCCAAGTCACGCTCGTGCAATGGAGGGCTATGTCGGACGTTCTTATAAGCCTATACAACTATAGGGAGCCAGAGTATGTCTATGCGATCGTGCCTATGCCCGTTCCCGTCTTGTTCTCAAGCTGACTTCGTTGGAAACAGCGGCCATGATCCTTCGAGACTTTTCCATCGGAGTGTTAACAAGCGCAACGTACCCGATTACTACGACGTGATCAAGGAACCGATGGCCCTGAGCGTGTTGAAACAGAAGATCAAATCCAAAGTCTATACTCATTTCGCGGAGTTTGTCAGGGACTGCGCTTTGGTAAGAGAACAACCTCGCCTCTGGGGTTAGCCATAGTAGGTGATGCTAACACCTGCCGTACAGATCCCACATAATGCGCAAACATACAATCGCCCGAAATCCATGGCTTACGAGGACGCGCTTATTATCAAAGTATGCTGTTCCTTCCTAGCTCTACAGCAAGTAACCATGCTAAATCTTGAATTTTTTCCCTTTGACAGGATGTTATGATATCCGAGTTCCAAAAGCTCGCAGAACAAGAAATAATCTCCCCCGAAACGGCTCAACTTCCTGACCTTGGAGAAATCCCGGAGGCTGACCCTCTCCCTGCTGAGGAGGAGGAAGAAGAAGAGGAAGAAGATGAAGAAGATGAAGAAGCCGAAGATTCGGACGATGAAGCTCCACGTCGAAAACGTAAAGGCAGACCTCGTCTTAGCTCAAAACGCGAAAGTGGAGTGAACGACCTTCACAAGGGAGCTGATGCTGATGGACGCAAGAGACGAGGCCGCCCCCCACGTGTTGATACCCCTATGGAAGCTCGGATCAAAGCCGTTCTCAAGGGAATCCGTAAACTGAAAGACAGCAGCGGACAGATGAAGGTTCGCCATTTTGAACGTCTTCCGGATAAATCGGCGTATCCAGACTACTACGTTGAGATTAAAGAGCCTCTTGCTATCGATCTTATCAAGAGAAAGTCAAAACGCAAAAAGTACACCTCCGTTGACCACTTCATGAGGGATGTCGATGTCATGTTCAACAACGCGAAGGCCTATAACCTTCCTGAGAGCCAGATATACCGAGATGCCGTTGATCTGCATCGAGAGGCACATAGGCTTGCCGAACAGGAGAAGAACAAGGCGGACAGTGAATACCTGATGGAAGACGGTCGTCTACCATTGCCTAATGGCATTACATACAAGGACGAGGTCTGGCGGGTTGGTGATTGGGTTCATCTTCAAAATCCAAACGATGCGACGAAACCCATTGTAGCCCAGCTGTATCGGACCTGGCAAGACCCTGAGGGTGAAAAATGGATCAATGCCTGCTGGTACTACCGACCCGAGCAAACCGTCCATCACTTCGAGAAGCACTTCTACCCCAATGAAGTTGTCAAGACTGGCCAGTACCGAGACCACCGGATAGACGAAGTTGTTGATAGATGCTTTGTTATGTTCTTCACGCGCTACAACCGTGGACGCCCACGGGACCTACCGCTCAACAAAGAGGTTTATGTGTGTGAAGCCAGATACAATGAAGAAAAGCACAAACTCAACAAGATCAAAACATGGGCCAGCTGCCTGCCTGACGAGGTACGCGAGAAGGACTACGAGATGGAACTGTTTGATGCCCCTCGGAAGATCAAGAAGATTCCGAGTCCTATCAGACATCTCCTCAAAGAAGACGCAAAGGAAACGGATGACCTCCCAAAGCCTACCTGGGGTGCCGAGAATGCGCCGCCTATCGTGGGAGCTGTCCATTGCCGTCCACGCGATGAGAATGTGAGTAGCTAGCCGCCTAATACACGTTCTGCATGGTGTAACATGTTTACTGACCCGTTCTTTAGGAGTCTCCTCCCCCAGAGCCAACACCTTCACCACCTCCACTGCAGCTTCAGCCGCCTGCTTCCTTACCAATTCCGAGGCCACCTTCTATGGTTCAGCCTCATACGCCGATGCAGCCTATGCCCGGCCAAGATCATGTTCGACATAACTCTATTCCACACATTCCTGGCCGTATGCCTCATGCGGCCCACCTTGCTACTTCCCCTCAACCTCCCATGATGCCAGGAGGGCCACACCCATATCACCCAGCACGACCAAATATGCCGATGTACCCAGTCGCTCACAACAACCGTAACATGCCAGTTCATCCACAAACACCCCAGCCTCCATACCATGCTCCCCAGCCTGCACAGCCATACTCAGCACCGCATAACTTCCCTTCATACCAAGGAAGCCGCTTGCCTCAAGCGAGCATCCCTCCACCCGTTTACAACCCCAATGCACCGCGCAGTGTAGAAACCTTCCATCTCCGTGACGGCCTGGACCAATCAATTCCAAAGGAAATACGTGACCAGTTCCAGCAAGACGACCAAGGGCGAGTTCTTTTCTTCAATGTTCCACCGCTGGATGTTGTATCAAATAGTCACCAGGGACTGAGCCACTCTCTGAAATATCTTGCAGCCAAGGAAAGACGGCTAAAACTGATAGAAGCTACCCGGAAGAGAATTTCTGCATCTTCAGAAGAGTCTCAGACGAAGAAACAAAAGATTGAAGCTGAAGCTGCGGCAGAGAAGAAACGGTTAGAGGACAAGGAAAACCTCCATGCTGAAACTCTCAAAATGATTACACAGACTATAACCAGGAGCAACTCAGAGTTCTACATGTACCACTACGGTGATCGAGCCGCAGAAGTTATGGAACGAGACCTCCAGGCTCATCTCGACAGATGTTACCCGAAATCCCCCAAGCCAAAAGAGCCAGAGCTGGTCCTTCGGCCATCTGCGCCAAAGCTCCGCTGGAATCCCAAGGGCCCAGAATGATTCTGAATCATGGCCAAACTGTACGACTCAAAGCATTACTGTACTTTTAGCTACAATATTCTAATGACAAGCATGCGGTTCATTCATTAGGTGTTTCATTCTCTCAGCTTTTGATGCTCTTGATACGGTTGTGTTTGACTTGTTTGCCCTGTTTGCTGAGTTTGCAATGCTTACTAATCCACACTCGTATAAACATTTATCCGCTACATTTTGACTTTAGGATTACTCAGCAAAAGCGCGTCGTTAATTGGTTCTTCGCGTCTCTACGTGTAAAGCGGGCCAAATCTAATTCTAGAGACGCGCGACTATCAAAACTGATATCAAGCATTAACACGATTCTCCAGCTTCTTCTTTTTATCCTCTTTCTTCACAAGTCAAATATCATTTTGGGACAGAATAAAATCCGTTTACTGGACTCGCCGTCTATGATTTTATACTAGTTTACACTCATATCCCCAGTTATGGCCACCGCCTCGCCGCGCTCGACGCGCTCCGGCACTCCAAGCAATACCCAGAAGAGCACTGAGGGCTCCGGCAACCATCATGGCAGCTCACCGGCTTCTATGACCCCTAGACGAAAGATTAAAGCTATGCTTGCCGCGTTCGACTCGGATTCGGAGCCGGATAATGCTACATCGAAACCATTCGCGCGACCCAATCCCGACCGTCCTGCTAATGAGATGGATGAGGACAGCGAAGATGACCAGGAGGATCAACTGCCAGTTGCACCAAGGGGAAGATTAGCTGCTAGAATGCTGGCGAGCGCATACTCTAAAGAATCAACATTGCCTGAGAGCAAGAGTATAACAACATCACGAGATACATCGAAAGATATATCATCAAACAAGGAAATGTTTGGGTTGGATTCTGGACCGGAATCGGAGGATGATGATGTCGTGGCCTTTGGAAGAAAAGGACGAACCACACAAGCAAGGGAATCTCGTTCCCCCTCTCACTTACGAAATGATGCCCCATCACGATCACCGTCACCATTGTTTGTTCCAATGGAGTCACCTAGCCCCGCGAAGACGACACAACGTGATGCAGCCATTTCAGTAGCTTCACCTCCAGTTTCCTGTCTCCAGTCTCTTGTCAATGAGAAGCGCATGAAGCTTAAGCAGCTGGAGCAGGAAAAACTTGCAAAGGAGCAAGAGAGGGAGCAGAGAAGTATGGAGTTAGATACAGATGGGGATGGAGAAGATGAAGATGATGAAGACGATGAAGCTGTCCAGCGGCTTACCCAACAGCCACGGCCCATGAGAAAGGCTAGTAAGAAGGCATTGCTTGAGATGAACCGTGAGACGCAGCGGATAGCTCGGAACATGCAATTAGCACACGAGGCTACGACCAAGAAGAAGATAACCATTGAGAGCTTCTTGGCCCGATTTAACAAGAAGCCCGTGTCTGCTCCTTCTAACAGCGGCTCTTGTTCTGATACCCCCGCCCAAACTTCGGATGCGGAAGCGTTGCACTCTACACCTCCGACCTCCCCTCTCAGGGAAACACTACAGAAGGATCAAGGAGACAAGCCTGCTGCTATTGATGAAACGGCCCCGAACTCAGAAAACCTTCTGAAAGAGGACATGGAAATCACAATTGATGATTTACTGACTAAAAGTAATGAGTCTGAGATACCTCAACAAGAAACCACTGAACGGCAATGTTTGAAAGGAAAACCCGTTGCCATACCAAATGTCCCAAAGGTGACGAAACCCGGGAGAAAAATACAAGTTCGATTATCTCCAGAAACTATTGCACAAAACCAGCGACACGACTCAGACTCAGATCTCGAGGTTGTTACATCCCCACACCAGGCTCGCCGTTTAGCGCTCTTCGAGAATGTCACAACCCAAAAGTCTCACAAATTATCAAACTCACTCCGCACATTGAAAGCATTGGCCCAACTGCAGTCTAGTCGGAAACCACAGCCTATGACACAAGGAGACCTTGATGACATCCTACTTCGGAAGGCTAGGGAACAAGCTGCGCAGCAACGAGAGGAAAAACTTGCAGCACTTCGGGCTAAAGGCGTCATCATCCAAACCGCAGAAGAGCGCGTCCGTGGTGAGGAGGAGGTTGAAGATTTGGTAGAGAAGGCTAGAGAAGAGGCGGACCAGATTGCAAAACAAGAAAAGGCTGCCTCCAAGCGGGCTGCTGCAAAGTCAAATAGCGAAGGCGTGGATGACATTGCCAGTGATGAAGAGGAAGAATATGTCGAGGACGCTGAAGAGGACTCTGAGAGTGAAAATTCAGAGCGCTCGGAAGAAGAGCAGGAAACTATGGACAGTGATGATGGCTGTGATGAAGATGAGGATAAGGAGCAGAATACAAAGTTCCTCGATAACCAAGCTGAAGAAAGCGCTGATGAAGATGAAGAGGGTGAAACACAGGATTGTAGCAAGTTGAGCTTGCGGCAAAGAAACAGGGCAAAGCTCGTAGTCAGCGATGACGAGGATGAGAAGCCTGTCGAGATGCAAGTGACTGCCACCCCCAAACCAAAGATACCCGATATTGGACAACCAACGACTCCGCTTATAGGACTATCCCAAGCCTTCGCTGCAACCCTGGGAAACAGTCAGGAAGATTCCCAGGAGGACTCTTTAGCACAGCTACGCAAGATGCCTGGCATAGATCTTCCTGTAGCCGACCTATTCGATTCAGACTCTCAGGGTTTCGCTCCTGAAACCCAGGGCCAGGAGAGCGGAACTCTTGATATATTTGCCGGATTTCCAGAACACAATACTCCAGCAATCGATTCGCCCAGTACCAAAACTTACACAGAATATTCACAGCTGCCAGAGCCAACTCAAGACGATGGATTTGTCATGTCCCCATTTGATCAAGCGAAACGTTTCCGACCCACGCCATCTACTCTAGCTGGGTCTGTGATAACCTCCAACCAGGATGGCGACCATAGAAAAGAAAGGAAACGACTTAGGCGCGGCAATGCTCACCAGGGAACCGTTGCTGGTGATGACGACCAGCCCCATACCAACGTTGATGCCTTCAAGTTAATGAAAAATAAGGCAAGTAAGCCATTTATAAAGGATAAGAGCAAGGCAAAAGAGATGGTTGAAGAAGCAGCCGAGGAATCCGACGATGAATATGCAGGGCTTGGAGGTGCAAGTGACGAGGACTCTGGATCAGAAGACGAGTTTGACAGACAAATGATCAATGATAATAGTGGAGAGGTGGTGGATGAGAAAGAACTGGCTGCTATGAACGCGTATGTATTCGAAGGTGCCAACCATTTTTCAATTCATTTCGGAAGCTAACACATGTGCAGTCACCACGAACGTGAGCAAGATGAGTTCCAGGTGAATAAACTCATGAAAGATATCACTACTGGAGCATTGCGCAGAAAACGCGTTGGCGATGCTTTGGATTTGTCAGATTCGGACGATGAACGTATCTCTCGACGTCGAGCGGCAAAGAGAAGAGAGTTTATGAAAATGCGAAAGGCTCTGCTTGCAGATGAGAAGATTGGTAAAATCGCAGAGGACCCGAAGAAGGCAGCTTTCATGAGAACTATCGAGGATATGGACTTCGATAATGACTCAGATTTCCTGGAAGAAGGCGAAGATACCGACAATTACGTTGCTTCCCAGGGGAGCAACAACAACAGCAATGATAGTAGCCAAAAGGACGGTGAATCAGCTACTAGAAAACGACCTTTTGACGCTGCTGCTGCCGACTCACTAAACCGAATACCGGTGAAATCCCGAAAGCTGGCCCGTAAAGCAAGCATGAAGAAACCCCTGACTCTTGCTGAAATACGCGAAACCGTGTCCTTCGTACTTGATGGTCCTAACACAGATGCTTCATCAGCTGTTCCTCTGTCAAGCAATGTGATGCCACATGATGAAGCAGCACAACCTGATCATTCCGGTGGTATTGAAGAGGCCGATTTCATCGATGACGGAGGGGCTTTGCAGACCGGCAAACAGGACAGGACAGGCTCGGTTGATAATGCTGCTCAGCCCCACCGACAAAGAGGAAAGGTGGTTGACCGTCTCGCACTTCGACGTCAGGCATCATCTAATGCAGCTTCGGGAAGTAAGCTTGCTTTCCACTCCAGCATGAACAGTGCTGGGCCCGAATTCAAGCTTCCTCCTTTCCTGCAAAGACGGTCATCCTCAGGTCTGTCGGTTGCAACAACAAAATCTTCAACGTCCACCAGCTCCGGCTCTTCCGTTGTGGTTACGGAGTCTGCTGGGGTTCAGGGTAGCAGAAAGGGTGCAGTGAATTACTATGCTGCGGCACGAGAAAAGGAAAGAGAACTACAGCTCAAGAAGGGACTGAAGAGCTCTAGCTCTTCCAATTTGATTGCCCAACGGATGAATATGGGAGGTGGGCTAAGCGGGCTGCTAGGTTCAAGGCCAAGTGAATGGGAGTGATGAAAATTTCCTTCATTAATGGGCGTATGTATGTATTTGCTTTGGGTTTGATCATAATGTAGGGCAGGAGTCAACGGATGGTGGTTAGGCATTGAGCGGCTCTATGGTATGTTTAGGCATAGCTTATTAGATGGTGTAGTAAATATTTTTTTCCCCCTTGCCTTCATTCAGACCAGAATATCCCACTCAATTCCGACCCAGCAGGGCCGGGATGATTTTTTGACAATATCAGAGTCATCTTTACCGGAATGCTCACTTCCGGTAGTAGTAAGCGTATCGATCTCGATCTCCCATGCCAGGCCATTTCTAATACCAATGGAGCTGCCGTCCCGGATGATGTTAGAGGCAGATACAGTTGATGGAGGGGCTCTTAGAGGGGGGTTAAAAAGCAGCATTTGAGCTAAAGGGGTTTTATCTTCCCCATAACTGCAGAGTATATATGGAGCTGGGTGCCCGGCTCCTCGAGCAGAACGCGTAGTTGAATATTTCACTCCTCTAACTTTCGTATTAAGGCAGTATTTGTCTTGGACATTAATCTGGCTTGGGCTAGTGTCATTATCACTGGTAATTGGATAGGCGGAAGAAAATAGCGCAGCCGGCAATGATGATGGCTGGCCACCTGCTTGGCGTCTGGCCCCGATTTCCAGTATCCAGTTTCGAACTTGTGTCGCCATTCCATTGGGAGTAAAATCCGGCTTCGCTAAAGAGCCACCACGCCCTCGCCTTGGGCGACGTGCGAGCGGAGAGAATGGACTTGGGCTCGTCACAGGGCCCGCTCTCTTCTTACCATGTCCCGCTTCTGGGGTAGATGGCAGAACAAAACGGGGTTTCTGTCGTGGTGTAGATGCATAGGCTCCTGGCTCCCCGTGATGGGGAGCTTGAGAATAGTTTAATTTTCCTGGTATGGGGGTATTGATTTGCCATTTGTTAACGACAAATCGAGGATGACTAGATGGCACTTGCCCACGCGACAGCTCCTTTCGAGCAGGTGTAAGAATTTCCTGTTCATTTAGCTCTGAGAGTGGGCTCCTAGAATCTTCCACAAAGGCGGGAGGTGAGCTCCCTAGAGAAGACACGATATCATCGCCACCAGGAACCGTCCTCTTAGCTTCGGGACCACCTTCTATAGAGGAAGCCCGGGAAAGTTGCCTTTGCCGTTTGATTTTTGGACGAGTGGGAGAAAGAGGGAGGAGCATTTCATCATCACTACTATAAGCATTTCCAATTGTCGGTTTTTGGTTGCTGAGATTGTCTCCTGACCCTGACGAAATGCTTCCACCATTGTTTATGGGTTCCGGTTCCGACTCCGAATCCTCAATCACTTCACCATGAAAGATGGCGGACGATCTTTTCAACCCATGAATACCCTCCTGATCATCCTTATCGATCTCATCAACTACCGCCGGACGTCGTGACTGGCTACTATTGCCCCCAAATAGGAAACGGGGAGTTGACGCGAATTGAACACTGCTCTGGGACGACGGCGGCCCCAAATGGAATCGCGGAGTTCTGGATACTTGTTGCGGAGGACGAGTCCTGTTGGGGTATTCAGGATATTCATCTTCCTCCGGCTTTTGACGCGCTCTTGCTGGTGTCTGCTGGAGAAGTCAACGAAGTCCATGTTCCAACGCGCCACAACAAACATACATTCATATGGCATGATATATTGCTTTCTAAGCCAATCCTCCAGGTATCAGGCAAATCAGCTCATTCGTCTCGGGTTCCATCGCACCAAATGCGGCCGGATTCGTTGATGAAACGAAACAAGTCAAGCAGGCTACGCGGAAACGCGGTTGATGTTCAATTAAAGATGAGGCTCTGCGCATCAGCCGAGGTTCTTGGCAAAACCCGAACAATCCAACTCCAAATCACCGATTCAGGAGATCAAGGAGAAATCCAATATGAAAATGCTACAAGGCCATTATCAAACATACTGCAATTGCAATGACGGCAACACTTCGTCCTCGCCCTCGGACACTTCTTTTGACGTTAGATGCGTTTAACACGATATTTCACCCTAGGCAACACGTCGCGCTGCAGTACACTGAGATTGCAAAGGCTGCAGGTTTCATATCCCAAAATGTCACCCCAGAATCAGTACAAGCGGCATTCAAGGTTGCTTTTAAACGAGAAACTGCCTCAAGGCCCAATTATGGGAGAAACACACCAGGATTTGGTGGCCCTAGAGAATGGTGGGCAAATGTCATAAGGGGTTGTTTTGCACGAGTTCACACAGGCAAAAACGAATTAGAAGGCGTTTCAGAAACAAGAGCTGTACAAGAGGTCCCGGACTCATTGGTATCTCAGCTCCTTCGAAGATTTGAGAGCAAGGAAGGATATACTTTATTTGAAGATGTGGAAAGTTTCTTCAGCCGCCTACATTCCTGGAAGAAAGAGCTGCAGGAAAGGAAGAGAGCCGGCTGCCTTAGAGACGGCGATGTACAGAATGTCATTGTTGGTGTGGTCTCCAACTCCGACGACAGGGTATCCCCGATCCTGAACTCGCTGGGGTTGTCAGTTGGGAATGCATGGGCAGATAGCGGAGAATTGCTACCTCGTGCATCATCATCTATTCCTACGGGTGGGACTCAGTTGAACGATGTTGACTTTATAGTGACGAGTTATGAGGCAGGAGAAGAAAAGCCCCATCGCCATATATTTGATGTTGCGAAAACCAGAGCCAAAGAGCATTTGTCGGTAACAGACCCTGCGTCTCAGGTAGACGGCGGGTGGAGACGTATTCATATAGGAGACGACCATGGTGATGATTACCAAGGAGCCATTAATGCTGGATGGGAAAGCTTCTTGTTACTCCGGGATGGGATGGATTATCTTCCCGGTACGGACCATCGAGCCATTGGGAGTGATGTGAAGACTCTCCGTTCTTTAACCGATTTATATATTCAATTGAACCAAAGATGAGGAAATTTAAATCCGCTCAATTATCTTCAAACTTTTTATACATGAATGAACTGGGGTATCTATTCTAAGCCATTGAACCTCCTTCCGCAACGATACTCAATGTATCAAGGGCAGTTTTGCATGCCCATTTCACCAACTTCTTATCCCGTTTCGAAGTCACTACGTCAGACTTGGTAACGACTTTGCGGATAAAATATCTGAGCCCTGCAACCACTTGCGGTGTCTCAGACGTTTTCATGAAAATAGTCACTAGAGCCTTCTCGTCATACCCATCGTCGGCGTTGTCTTTGTTCTTATGCTTTTTGTGTGATTTCTGCTGCGATTGTGTCATGACTGTTATGAGAAGAATCTCCACAAATGTCTTTGTTTTCGGCTGCAAGTACGGGAAATCGAGGATTTTAAGGATGCCTAAAGACAAACTACCCTCTGCAATTAACCTGGCAAACATGTTCGCTAGGTTGAATATTGCTCTCGTGCTGAGTGCATTTTCCTCATCTTCGGCGTCGATGCCACTAAAATCGTCGTCCTCCTCCGAGTGGCCTCGCTCTCCCATCTTCTTAAAGATATCCCAAAGAGAGAACATAAACGCCATTCTCATTCTCTTCTCGCCACATAGCTTTCGTGCTATCAACGTGTAGTAAGGGTTATGCGCTTCCTCCTCGGTTGCGCAATGCATCAACACGCGAGGAATTTCGGTCTCCTGATTTCGTTTTAAACGGAGTTTGGTCAGCCGGAGATATGCATCTCGACAGTCGGTTGCCGACATTATTGCGACAAATATCGATCGTCGAACGTCAGTATTCATGCGATGAGCTCTGGCAAGTTGACCTAAGTCAACTTCTCCTCCGGTGATATCGACATCCAAAGTGTCTGTCATAGTTGCATCACGGCCTGCACTGGGGTCATTGCTATGGTCATCGGTCATTGAAGGGTCCTTCCAGCTTGCACCAACAAGCCACCATTTCCCTGTCTTAGATGAATTATGAATATCTGCTCGACTGATTCTGAGCGGCTCGCTAGCTCTGAGGTTCCTGTTGTTCAGGGTCCCAAGAACCTTCCGCATCTTGGTGATGTGCTCGGAAGCCAGTGCTGTACCGGCAATGCCAGTTTTTAGGCGGTTGTTTTTAAGATCGGTGATTATTTCAATCATGAATTTCGTGCGGACTGATAATGCCGCCTCGCCAACCCGAGCTACTGCTGGCTGAACGAGCATTACAATATCCTTTAGCGAGGAAGGGTCATCTTGCCTCAGCTGAGATCCAGAACCTGTGGTTGGAATTAGTATCAATATATGACAAGGGGCTCTAGCATACGGGGTATTACTTACTCTTGATAATTTTCAGAAGCAGTTCAGTGTTCAACTCATTGATCTCCGTGAGTAAGAGACGAATATAATCAAACGCTAGACTGCTTCCAATAACATGAAAATTATATAGATGTGATAGCAAAGACATCAGGTTTGACAATATCTTGCTCTTAGAGGCATGATCACTGGAGTTTTTATCCTCATATATTTCATCGAACTTTTCCACGACGCGCTGTACAAGCTCTGCTCCAAAATCCATTCCAATTACCTTATACACCGCAGATATAAAGGCAGCGTGGAGGATGACAAAGGTGTCATTAAGGGTGCTCCTATCAGCTACCGAAGCAAGCAATAGGTCTATTAGAGTGGTTGTAACTATTTTGCGCGGGTGGTCTTGATATATCTTTTCGATCTCAGAGAGAATGGATATCAGGTTGGCTTCTGATAGCTTGTTGAGCTGGCCCTGCAATTGACGACGAACACGAATGAGAGCTTCGGATTCTGTTGCTGCAGCCACTCGTAGCGATGGCGGGATGTACTTCGGTTGGTCTTTGCTGGAGGGAGCTACAGGGGCAACATATGGGTTCTCTTTTATTCGTTTGGGTGGCTGCTCAGGTTCGTCATCGAAGCCTTCGAATTCGTCCATGCTGCCCTCTTCGCTGCTCTCATCATCCTCCTCTAGTTCATCCAGCAAACCTTCATCGTCTTCATCTGTTTCATCCTCCCCACTGTCCGAATCGAAATCATTGCCTGAGTCTTCGTCGAGACTCATATCAGCCTGCGCCTGAGCCTGAGCTTTTCTCCTCTTGCTCTGTAGCCATTCTTCGCCGTCTTGCTTGCCCCTCTTCTGGTCTGACTCGGAACCGTATCCTCCCAGATCACCCAGTATCTCAGCTAGTCCGTCTTCTTCAAAAGATTTCGGAAGCTTCTTCTTCCCCTTCAACCCCAAGGCCTTCTCCAGCCGAGCTATCTCCCTGTCGTCCTCCTCAAGCTTCTCCCGAACTGCCCGTGGAATTTTGCGCTCAGGAAGGGCAACGTCCGCGTCGTCATTCTTCTTTGTACCCTGAGCTTCATCACTTCGCTTGCGCTTCTTCAGAATAGATTTGGGTTCCGGCTTCGCTGGTATAGTCGTTCGTAGCTCTCTGTCACCAGCATCATCATCTGAAGACGCTTCTGTACCGGGGTCCCGGTCCCGGTCCTGGTCATCTCGTACATGTCGTTGCACCAGCTTGCGTGGCTGCTGGTGATGCTGTTTCTTCTGTGAGCGTTCTTCCTTTCGCCTTTCTTTCCTGCTCAGAGGCTTCCCTCGCCCTCTGTTGGGCCTCCCACTGTCCCGGCTGTCCTTCAGTCCCAGCTCCTCGCGCAGCTGCTTTGGGAGCCGCGTGGTATTTATCTCCGGTCGACGCATCGCGGTCTCGTCGTCCTCGTCATCTCATTCCTTAAGTCTTCAACATCTCGACCTTTTTTTTTTTTTCTTTTCTTCAAAAATTATGATGTGGCCCAAGCGTCATGCCACTAAACCTTAAATCGTCCACACTTTTTGCTGCGAAAAAAAAGCCCGAAAAGCAAAGAAACAACCAAGGAAGAAGAAGAGACAACTTTGCCTTTCTTACAGTCATTATTATTACCTGCTTGCGGGCCTGAATATATACCTGGGTCCTTGCAAAGAATCTATCTCCCTTGGATACGTTTACTGGGACCTCATTGACAGCTACACATCGGCGCAACAATGTCGAAACCCCACCTCCCTAACGACGAGGTATGGATACAGGACGAAATATACCCCACGATACAAAGGGTGCTTTAGATGGCCCAGATAGCTAATGGCGTATCGGCTATAGTTCCTCTCCTTCCTCGAGTCCCTCCTCGTCAAGCAGTCGGCCTCGTCCCGCGGCTCGGTGTTCCTTACACAGAAACGTCTCCAGTCAGAAACTACAAGTAAAGATGAATCACAATCTACAGTGTCGAATCCGCCAATGATCTTAATTCGGGCATCAAACGGAAGACACAAAGATTCGAAAGTCAAGGCTTCCACGGTCGTGAAACCAGAAGAGATAGAGGCATTTTATCGCCGGTATGCAGAGATATGCAAGGCCGGCATGGTGGGCTTGAAGAAGAGGGACCGCAGCGCAAAGAAGAAAGGCAAGGCTAAGGGAAAGAAATAGGAGCAGGGAGCCTAGTTAAAGGACGGCCACGTGCTAGTGGTATGTCTTGTTGAGCTGAGGAAGAGCTTTTTGCTCTTGGGATATATATGCATTGTTTGGCGTTAGATGGGGTCTCCTACTGCGTACTGGGACATAGAGATATACGGGAAACAACGGATCAGTTTCAACAAATGAAATGGTATTCAATAATGGCTGGTATATCAAGAATGCTGCAGGAAAATAAATGCGAACGAGCGAGACGTCTTGTACGTCCAGTAAGATCCCTGTACAGCTATGGCCGAGAAAAAAAAGTAAACCACCTCCCGATAAATGCTAAAAAAAATGTCATTAATGCAAGTAGATGTTGCATATGGTGCCTGAAACCCTAAGCCGTCATTACCGCCCACACAACACGCTAGATGGACCGAAAGAAAGAGCGAAAAAAAAGTAGGACACAAGAGGTACAAGTACAGCCTAAACAAAACAGAATGCAATGAGGTCTAATCTGCCTCGTCCAAAGAATCGTAGACGCTTAGTGAATTCGAGTTCACCTGCTTAAGTGAGGAGGTATAGGGGATGGGTATGCCAAAGTCGTCTTCACTTAGATCACCAATGTCATCCTGGTCAGAGTATGGGTCCGGTAAGTCAGGGGAAGTAGGAGATGGTCTGGTAGCAGCCACCTTTGCAGCAAGACGTAGGAGAAGCATGAGGAACTGGACTGGTGGGCCGAGGACATAGGTGCATGTCTTCTTCATGATTGTGTGGGTGAGATGGTTGGCGGGAGACCGCGCAGAGGGATAGTATAGAGTAGATGGCGGTGGGAGCGGCGATAGATCACGCTTCCGGTTGCTACGAAGGCGTTGACGGAGATCAGAGCTGGGTTCGTTGACGTCAACGCCTTCTTCGGATGAAAGGTAGATTGATCCGTGTCTGTCGAAGCTAGGTTGTGTAGGAGTTGAATGTAGATCTGTAGACAGAAATTCTCTTGGTATTTGGCTCATATTATTGTCATCTGAATCAATAAAGGGGTCGGATTCTGGAATAGACGGAGATTGGTCTGAGGTATCTTCTCCATGTGCCAAAGAAGGTGCAGCAGTAGTCCCTTCATTCCATGGAGACGGAGGGTCCGAGTATTGGGTATCCGAAGGGGAAATGGAATCATCCATTTCACATGTATGGAAGGACCCTAAGCTAGACATCCGCTCGCTGTCATCCATATACTCCTGGTGTTCTTTTTCCTCCGCGGGGCTTGCATCTTGCAACTGCTGGAATTTGGCGACCAAAGACTGGAAGGCTTGAGGAGGGGGAGTCACTGTAGAACCGTCCGACTGCATATTATCCGGTACAAACAAAAAATCTTCTCCATCAGTGGCCACAGACGGGTCATTCCCCGTATCCTGGTCCTGGTCCTGTTCCCGAGAAGTGGCTTTGCGCACATCAAGTACGGGCCCGCCATTTGATTCCAGATCACGCGAGGCAGCCAAGGGCACATCAGTAGGGAGATTCAGCGGTGGAAAGGGAGGCATGGGCTGTAGTTTTGGCTGCCATGCTTTCTTCTTCTTGGGTGTTTTTGCTTCCTCCGGCAGGACCACGGAGAACCCACGTTTAAACGGACAAGGAGTGATTTCATATCTGATAATCCCGGACAGGACCTCTTTGAAGCTCTCGACCCGGCTCTTATCCTCCTCCGTCTCCCCAGGGAGCTCGACGCGATAATAGGTGAGTTTCCGTATCCTGAAGACGAATCTAGAGACCTGGTCCACACACCAGCACTGGCTGTTCTTGAGTAAAGGGTACACCACGCTGCCGGATTTCAGAAATGTAGCCGAGCCCGCAACGGTCTCTATCTTCAGCGGGCCGATGGAGGCCAGTCTCTCTGTCGGCAGCTCCCACGGGAGCGTTTCTATGGCGTCCACAGGGTAGTCGAGGTCCGGGAGGATAGGGGAGGACGAGGAGGAATTTGGCAGCTCGAACTTGAAAATCTTCGCCGAGGGGCTGGAGTAGAGGATCTCGTCTGCAGGAGAGGGGCCGCTGGTCGAGAGCTCATGCGCTCCCAGGCTATATCTGCCTGTCGAGACGGCTCTGGTCCGGGGGATGGTCGAGGAGCGGCGCAGGGGGAATGGCGATTCGGCCATGGCGGAGTGGGAGAGAGAGCGACAGCCAACGAAAGACAGACGAAAAGAGCGAGCAAAGAAACCAAAAGGAGCGTAAGTAGAAGCAGATGAAGGTAAACAAATCCAAGGTCCTCGCTCTTACATCGCGCGCCGCATGTGAAGAGGAGTTGTCGATGTTTCAAAGTTGTCGGCTTTTGCTCTCCACCTCATAGATAGTTAGCCAACTAACTAACTAGTCACCAGTCCACCAACTAAACTGACTAGTTAGTGTGACGTAGAGGCACCGCCAGCCACCAAAACGCCAACAGCGACATCGACGACCGCGATCAACACTCGACGGAGGAGACACGCATATACAGGCCATCGAGATGCCCAAGTTCGAACCCAATGCCATCCTGCGGGGCGCGCAGCTGACGCTCGTGGGCGGTAGGTCTCTCCAAGCCGGACGGAGCAGTTGATGCCACCACCAGACTCGCTGACTGCATGGTAATAACTACAGCACACAGGGCGCTGCAGAACCCGGAGCTCTTCAAGTCGGAGCACTATAAACAGGCTGCCCTCTCTGTCTGCAGCGGGATAGCCATCCACCTCGTCGTTGCGATCCCGGTACGCAGTAATCTGTCTGCCCGCTCTCGACCGCCAGCCATGGCTAACAACAAGATGACCGCCAGATCGTGGCTGTCAAGCTGGTGATATGGCTTCTCTCCTGGGCTATTGACCTAGAGAATGCTGTGTGGGACGATAAAGTGATCGGGACTCTGGACTTCGTGTCCAACTACGTCCTTCAGGTGCCATTTTTCCTCATGACCCTGATGCGGTATATCACGCCAACCCTGGACAATATGTATGCATAATCCTGTTTCCTTGGTATGGTCAGTAGACGGAGTTGACTTATTACATTTCCTTAACAGGTTCATGGAGTCATTACGCTGGGTTGATATAACCTATACGCGGAAGCACAAGGACGATGACCCGACGACACTACGGCCAATGTACTATGATAACCTGCGGATGTACTCCAAAGGCGGCATGTCTCATGGTAAAAAATCAAGCCTTGCGCCTCTAAAGGCCTTCGCCATTCGCTACGGAAAACGAACCGGCATGGCGCTGGCAGTCTACATTCTCTCACACCTCCCCTTAGTCGGCCACTTCGTCCTTCCATGTGCAAGTTTCTATACCTTCAACAAGGCTGTTGGTCTAGGGCCAGCGGCTGTGGTCTTTGGCACCGGTCTAGTACTGCCTAAGAAGTATCTGATTGTCTTTCTGCAGAGTTACTTTGCCTCTCGCAGCTTGATGAGAGAGTTGGTAAGCTTCGAGTGCCTATTCTTGCACGGTCAGTTACTTGTATACTAACAACTCTACCTAGCTTGAGCCGTACTTCAGCCGAGTCAAATTCACTGCTGATCAGAAACGACGGTGGTTCCTCGACAGAAATGGAGTGCTGTTTGGATTTGCAGTTGGGTTCTACCTGATGATTCGCATCCCCGTGTTGGGAGTCTTGCTCTATGGCATTGCAGAGGCGTCAACGGCATACCTGGTCACCAAGATCACTGATCCGCCGCCACCGCCAGCCTACTCTGAAGGCTTCGCCGAGGGACAAGTGACATGGACGAACAAGCATCTCTTCCTTAAGCTTCCCCTAGACTCCCTCGACTTTCCTGTGGTCAAAGCTCGCGAAGGAAAGAAAATATCCTGAGATTCTTAAAGAAGAAATTCCTGGTCTCTCAGGAATATATGGGATAGCCACTGGCCGCCTAATTTCTCATGGTTTTCTTCCATATACTCAACCATGGAAAAGACAAACCAAAATGTTATATCCCGGACTGATGCCCCTGATGACGAATCGACGCCCCTATAAATAACCTCACAGGCCCGTCAAGTTTCCCAAGATCCTCAAGTTTTCCTAAAGCCGACCGGCTCCTCCTGATCTCAAGATCTAGGTTCAGACCGCAGCCCTCAAGCATATATATGTGCCCTATATTATATGTCTAGCCCTCCTAGAACCTAGGTCAAAGATACCAGATATCTCAGTTACGCCTCCATCTACTCGACCATGTTATCTCCTGGCTGCTTTTCTTTTCCTGCCCTGGACCAGGCACAAGGTATCCATTGCTATCCTCCACTACGTCTGCCCTCCGTCCCTTTGCCACCTTCTCGTCGCTTTCAACTGCTTCTCCTTTATACCTTTATGCCTTCTCTTCCTTAAGCCCTAATTTTAGGCTCAAACGGGGAAGGATCCACCTGACCCACTTGTTCCGAGCTTATGTCATCAAAACAAATTTTTTAGATGGGAAAAAATAATAAAAAACAAGAGAAAAAAAAGAGCGACGAAGCGATCGATAAAGCAACGACAGCTGAGTCGCATCGCGGCAGTGAGAGGAAGACAGAGGGCAGCGTGGAGAGTGATACGGACATTCAGAGCATACAAGCCGCTTCCTGGCCACCTTGAACAGCAACGGTGAGAGCTATGACTGTGAACTCTGTGGACGGCGGTACGCGCGAGTCGTCGACCTTCGATACCAACGACGGGGTCAAAACGCACCAGGAGGAGATGGATTCTCAACAGGACAATAGCTGGAGCGCAATCCAAGACCGGGAGTACCAGGCAGCGTCATCCAATACCGCATCGTCGCCAAACGCAGCGAAGAAGAAGAAGGGCCGCACCGGCTACTGGAAGGAAAAGAAGGCAGCAAAGAAATTGGCCCAGGCCGCAGTCGATGGCGATTTGAACGACAACGGTGGCGTCCCGACTTCAGTGTCCGCCGACAAAGATACGATACAGCTTGATATTGAGAATGTTGACCCTAATGCCACCGTTGAGCAGGACGCCCCGATGCCAGGCTCCGACGCATCCACCAAACCCAAGGCAAAATCTAAGGATCGGAAGAAAACCAAGAGTGCTCCCTCAACCGCTCCGCTACAAGATATATGGCCATCTCCACCGGCTCGAGATGATGGATTTGTAGATGACGGATGGGGTAACGGCACGCAAACGGGCTGGTATCACCGAGACGAATCCCTTCCTCGAGAAGAGACCAAACCTAAGAAGATAAAGCCAAAGAAGAAGGCTGTGAAGGCAAAGGTAGCAGATGAATCAGCAGTTCAAATAGGTAACTCTGAACCGCTTAACTCGAAGGCCGGTAACGTCGGTGCTAGTGTGAATGGGGAAGACCCAGTTGAAGACGGAGCAGCTTCTGCAGGTAAACCGACAGTGCCGAAGAAAACTGCAAAAAAGAAGAAAGCCAAGGCAGACAAACACACCGCTCAAGAGCAGGAGGCCCCGAGCATGCTTGACGGTGTTCAAGTGGATGAAACTACCGGAAACGAAACCCAGCCTCCGACATCAACTGCGGCTGGCTCCAACGACAGTACTAACGGGCCTGCACCAGTTGAAGCAAATGGAGTACTCCACACCCTCAAGCAAGTTTTCAATGGAGTCAACAGCAACACCGATACACCTACGCCTGATGCGTCCAACACCAAAGACTCAAAGTCAAAGAAAGTGAAGATCCAAGTGGATCTGGATGTTGAGCTTGCGTCGGTCTTGAAGGCAAAGGTCAAGGGGGAGATGATGATTACTTTTATGTGAGTCTTGTCACCTGCTGCGTATATGAAACGTATTTAAATACTAACAATGCTGGAATCGCAGGAATTAGACCTTTCCGAGTCATCCCCGTTATGACTCTTATTTTTCTCCTTCCTTCTGTTTCGGACTCTTGTTGGTTTACGAAGCCCTTGTGTATATATACCGTCTTCCCTTAGTCTTTGTTACGTCTCATTACGATGCATGTTGGGTCATCACGGTATGGGGATAGGGATAATATAGCTACATGGGTTATGGGTGTTGGCATTGGCCTAATGGTTTTCTGACCTGCGATGTCTTTATGCTGTGTTATGTCTTCTGTTATTATCAGATTCAAATTAAATTCATATATCATCAATCATTCGTGTCATATGCCTCACAATTAACATATATAGTTATTCAATATTTGCCAAAGTACCCTAATTACCAGCCGATCCCATTACTTATACATGATATCATAGTCCTATCTACTTAACCTTACACATTCATATTAGCATTACCTTCTCCGGTAAGCACGCCGTTTGGCCCATTTGCAGCCGCAGAGGCTCCCTGGGCATTCGCAGGCTCAGGCGCAGCAGCCTTCTTCTTTGCTGGTCTCCGTATCTTAGCAAGATATTGTAACTCTTCCAGTGGCCTTGCGAGACCATCAACCTGTCTTGTTTCAGGGATAAGCCACTTCGTAACCGCGGCTCCAAGCACCATAAAGGCAGCAAATATGATAACCACGTACCCTAGCCATTGAGCTTTGGTATCTGTGGAGTTGGGGTCGGAAGGGTTGTTGTCAGATGGCTTGTAGGGGCCAATGGGTGCATAAGCAACGAATACCTGTACCAAGACAGATGCAATCTTCCCAGTCATCGCGGAGATGCCGTGGGCGGTGCAGCGGAATCGAGTTGGGAACAACTCGGCTGGAATCATAAAGGTAGTGACATTAGGACCGATCTCGAAGAAGATCTGAGAAAGAACGTAGAGGAATGCAATTAGTGGCACAGAAGTAGATCTGTTAACAACCTGGAAGCAGACGCCGATGATAACGAAGATCACGGCCAAAACAATGAAGCCGTACAGTTGGATAGTGCGAGGAGAATTGCGTTTAATTAGCTTTATCATGCCCAGGCCACCTGTTATTGAGCCTGCAGAAACAATGATGAGCGAGTGCCATGCATTCTGGAGGACATCTTCGTATAAGCTGCGGTTAGGGGGAAGACAAGGGGTCGGCATCTGGCCGCCATGTTTGATAACGCCGGGGAAGCATAGTACACTTTCGTTGAATATCTTCCCCACCACTTTATATGAGTTGGGGCCTAGAGCATAAAATGCGAAATCGAAGCAGGCCCATGCAAGTGATGTGCCGAGGAGGGTGGGCCAGTGGCCGTTGGTGATGAAATGATTGTAAAAGCCAGTACGGAAGCGAGCCCATTGGCTAGCTTCCTTAGTAGGAGGTGAGAAATCATCTTCTACCAATGTACTATCTGCTGGTTCATCATCATTAGATGTAGAAAAGGATAAGGATGATCCAGCGCCAGAATGGGCGCTGGAGACGGTATGTGTACGCGAGACACGACGTGGTGAACGCTGTGAGGCACCGTCTGTCGCTCGTGAAGTGCTCCGTTGGTGCTGACGGGGATCAAAATGGCTCCAATCATTGGATACCGGCTGATTGGATGGATTTGATATTGCCGAGGCAGGCCTATGAGAGAAGGTTGGTGGTTTTTCCGCCTGTAGGTTATTTCCTTCTGCCATGGGTGGCCGCTGAGATTGAGACTGTTGCTCTGGTGGAGGTAGTTGCATCTCAACATCACCTGGAGTGATAGTCTTTTGGGGTACTCGCTGCCAACCCATCTCGTTGACATCCTCGAGTGCCTCGTCTGGTCGATTTAGCACTTCCATCGTGTACCGTGGAGACTCAGGAATACTGAATCTAAAGAATATGGCAATGGCAGATGGTACAGCACCGATGCCAATCACCCACCTCCACACGCTGTCCATTGCACGTCGGCACTCTGGATTATCCATACAGGATACAATGTCCTCAACCCGCGTGGGGATATTCTGCGGAATACTGCCGCGATGCGCAACAATCGCTATCAACGCCACCAGTGTTGCAGCGAGGTAACCACAAGGCTGCATATAGAAAACCGTGGAAATCATCCGGCCCCGCGATCGAGTTGGAGCGAATTCAGAGGTGATCACTGCAGAGAGCGGATAGTCACCTCCAATGCCAATACCCATGATGAATCTCCATGCGATCAACCATGCGACAATACTCATAGAACCAGACGCACCGTCGGCCGCCATTGTAACCCCAATAGTCGACAGTGTAACGATAAGAAGCTCGAAGCCGTACATCTTCCGTCTCCCGTAGAGGTCAGCAAGTATCCCGAAGACGAACTGTCCGATAATTGTGCCTAGTAAAGTGGCGGCTCTCATGCCTGTTTCGATGTGTATTGGCATGGTGCCTTGCCAGTAGACGTGAGCCAGCATGGGGATAATCATTCCGACGGCAAATATCTAATCGGTTATTCTTTAGCATCCAACAGCTACTTTTTGGTATCGTGGGGTAACGTACATCGTATCCATCAGTGAAGAAACCAATTCCAGCGACGAACACAACGAGGCTCTGGAAGTGAGTGGCATCGAGCTCATCGAACACACGGCGACGTCGGAGGTCGAGGTCCTATATTTTGTATGTTCAGAGCTGTCGATAAACTGCTGGCCCAAAGCACAACTTACAGGAATATAGTTGAAGTTAACCGTACGGTTTTTCACCTTAAATGAAACCGGCATCTTCATGGTTAACAACTCCCCACTCCCTGCAGTTATAGCAGAGGTAGGCGGCTTTATTGTGTGAGCAGCTATAAACGTATCCTCTTCGAGTAATTGAGAGTTGTGACTGTTCCCCAAGGGGGTAGCAGTGCGCGTTGGCCGAGCCTGGAGCTGTCTTCGAGACTTATGTATACACCATGAGGCTCAAAGTATGCCAAGATGGCAATGCTCAAAAGCTCTGGAGGAGGCGCAGGGAGTCAGGAGTCAGAGTTCGAATATACCACAGACGAGGACCATCAATCAGGCAGACTGAAGGGCAGGCATGGCAACGTTCATGATACGAAGCCAAGGTTCTTGCAATTGAAAGTGAAAGTTGACAAGGCAGTGGAGTAAGCGGATATTTGTATACATGCAGGGCTGGAAAGGCTATGGATGGCAATAATAACCATGACATAGTCTATGTAGACTGGGAACAGACAATATTTAAAAATAGATTTGCGAGCGAGAACGCCCGGTTAAGCGACGAAGAGGCTCCGTCTGATGCCTGAAGCACATGTGAGCTGACGATACAGGAAGCGAAGAGCCATGCGAGCAGACCGACTGAGGCCGCCAGGCTGAATATGACTGGCAATAGCAGTTGGACAGGAGCTTGCGAGAATGGGGCGAGATACTGTCAGCCTGCGTTGGGGTGGCTTAGGCGTTGACCTTTTAAGGTTTAGACAGTTTCTAGGGGTAAGCTAAGGGACAAGGGACCGAGCTAGGGGGTCCCCCATGGGAGGGCGGCTGACCCATCAGCGAACAGCGAAGGCACACGAGGGACTTGCAATGCAGGGGGGCGTTCGTGTTTAAAGAGTGTTTTGGTAAAGAGTTGCAGGTCTAAGCAACCATCATGGTCAGTAAGATGAACGATAACGAGGAAGAGACATGAGAAAAGAGAGAACTTCGGGGCCATGTAACATGGATGCTTTGAGCATTGAAGGATGCGGGAGACAAACCTGATTCGGACAAGAAAGTGATTCGTAGATGTTGGCCAGATTGCAGAAGCTGGAGTTCAAGAACCAAGTTGCGATGGCTTTTTCTAAATCCAGGGTCGATATTATTTCCTAAGATACTGTTAGTAGAGCCGATAAACTGACGGTTGGCTAGCTTGTTGGTTAGCAAACTCACGATGAACTTCAATATACCGAGGTCGTTCCCTTGCAGAGGCAAAATACAGAATCGATGTATCTCCGTCGTGCCCTTCGCCGTCCGTCTCTTCCCATATTCGTAGATACTGGCGATCTGATTCTCTTCCATTCACACTAGATATCTTCTGCACCAGCATCGAGAGAAGTAGATTTTTTCCAAAGATTAAACTTTGTAGATAGATGAGATCTACGCCACAACCATGTTAGTCCCTTCGGCCTTCGGCCTTTTGGTCGAATAAAATATAGAGGGGGGAGGAAAACTAAGCTTACCATCTGGATCTTCAATGTAGTACTTTGGGTGCTCGCCATATTTTGTTTTGGGCGCCTTTATGAAGTATATAACTCCTGCTTCATGGCTTCTATCGCGGTCACCAGGCGGTTCGATATGAGGAATCGTTCGCCTTTCAGCTGAGGACACTATTGCAATATTAGAACGTTTGCATGGCGATAAGAAACTAGCGAATCTTACACCTGAGAATAGGTAGCTTTTCGGCTAGATTTGTGGGATCCGTTGCGCGAATTGCACACATTCTCCCGTCGCTCTTGTAACCCGCAGAGAGGATGCATCGAACTGATGTCGAATGATCATGCCATGAACTGTATATCAATTAGCATGTGCACCCAAAAGGAAGTACCTGTATATATTTATTATAAGAGTACTTACATTCTTACGCTGCCATTAAGTGGAATAGTCTTCCAGCCACAACTCAAATGATGGCCCGAATCATCTGTGTCCCGTCTCGACACCATGCCCGGTGAGGGAGGGAAAGAACTGCCATTTCCATTGCTGTAACCCCTACTGCGCAACGGAGCATTCCCATTCTCTATGCTGACAACACTTGGTGCTGTACTGGCGTAGCTAGATATGGAATCGCGTGCATTTGAAGGACTCTGTCTTGGCGCAAACCTAGGGCTAATTGGTGTTGAATATGAATGGATTGACCCAGGACTTGTTGATAGCGGGATAGAAAGAGAGTTGACGGTTGATGGACTAGCTGAGAGAGGTTGCGTTGGGGAAGCCATATATGAAGGTTTATTATGACTACCGGGTATTTCCATATGTGCGGCATTGGTAGCTGTAACTGCAGTATCCTCAGTGGCAGCAGTGCTTGTTGACGTGAAATCGGAGAATACCGATGGTGTGTAGGATGGTAATGTAACTGTCGATAAGGTACGGTAAATCGGATTCCCTGGCCCGTCTGCTACTTCCTCGGTGCCACTAAGTGATATATGAGAAGACTGGTGATCGGTTTCCGTCTCAATTTCATCAGAGATTCTTTCAAGTGGGGTCTCAAACGCTGCGTGGCGTCTGCGACGGTACGATTGATTTTCATTCGCAGGGGACCTGAGTGAGCCTCTTGACATGTTCAGCAGCGTCCTGTTTAGTTCGATGTCGTTTTCGCTTTGAGATCCATGCTCGCTCCTGCAACCGTGTTGAGCAGTAGAGTTCGTCTTGCGTTCAATGACATTCAGGACTCGTCTATGGAACCGATCAAGCTGGTCACAAATAGTCTCCCATTCCTGGTCATTACCGGTTTCAGCGAGAGCACGTTGGAGCATGGCGTATTCACGCTGGCGCTCGACAGCTTCTAGCATTATATGATAACGATCACCGTCTGCAGGAGAACCGTCTGAAATGCCCAAACCTGAGCTAGGAATAGACCCAACACGCTGGAGGGGGTAGGTGCGAGTCAAAGGCATAGCTTCGGCATGAAGCTCATGGATCATGCGCTCAACACTTTGTAGCCTTTTACCCATGCGGATGCTTCGTTCTCTATACGCATGTTGTCAGTATATATATAGCAGGGTAATGTGTGAGGTTGAAGCGTACCGTTCCAGCACTGTAAGGTAGAGTGTCAGAGACTGCTTATGACGCGAAACCCGGTCTTGGAGAGCAGATACCTGGCCACTTCCCCAGGTAGCATGTCTGACCAGTTCCCCGCCTACTCTGGCTGCGTTCCTACCTGAGATAAGGATTTCTCTAGTACGTCCCCCTGTGGTTGAAGTGGTAGATGGCCGTCTCTCTCCTGCTACGACGGGGTCTGTGTTGTTTCTATGATGATTTTCATAAGCCTGCTGCAGGTTGTTGTACTTTTGCATATGGGTGCGACAGTCACGCAGCGTATCCTCGATTCCGCGCAGATCGATGCAGGAGGTCTCGCCGCCATCTTGAACGAGTTTCTGAAGCTGCTGCAGTAGGCGTTCGAGTTCCTGAATCTCCACAGCCAGACCATGCACTATTTGGAGAGCAGACGTTGGCCCCAGAGTACAGTTTGATACCAGTGTGTGGCAGGCTACAATAAGCTGGTAGATGTCCCCAGCAGACCATCCAAAGCTCATGATGACGGTATTCGTACTCCCTTTATAGGCCGGACCGTGGGTATATAACCTCTAAGTAAGTAAGTCGGTATTGTAAGAGGTTGAGCAAGGATCCACAATCCACTCAGAAGATAGCCATCTGGATCAGGTATGTGTAAAAGCTGATTATATATCAGGGTGAAAGTGACACGCCTAAAATGCAACGCCGGTACTAGATTTGTGTCACGGAGAGGTCAAGCCAAAAAGCAAACGTCCAGCCAACGCTCATGCAAGTAATACGACGGGGGGGAAACCGGTTGATCAAACAAGAAGAAGTAATGACGAAGGCTTAAAGGAGGAAACAAACTGTCCCTGGAGTGTCCTTTGATAGATGTTGTTCTTGGGGAACGCTCGATGGCCACCACAGAGCCTCACTCGACTCCACAGACAGGCAGCCAGAGACAGCGAGGATCCTCTGTCAAATGACAGAACGATTGGCAGGTCAGCTTAGCTAGAAGCATTCAGCTGCTTAAAGGAGCGCTTCTGTAAGCTAGGTGAGGCGTCAATAATCTCTTTGTGTCTTGTGGCCTCCCCGGTTTCCGTACGTACGAAGACCGGCCATGCTGCCATGGAAAACTGAAAGAGTATCCATGGGGGTTCCCACGCAAAGGAGCCAGGAGTCCCACACTATTACGCATCTACATATAGTAGCGATAGGCTTTGCAGTACCAGCACCTCCCATATATCCATGGTGCCAGAAGCAGGTACCAGGCTTATCGAGCGGCAAATGCGCGAGTTGGGGTATATTGGGAAAAAAAGAAAAACGTGGGAGAGACTGAGCAAGTCGTAGAAGCACGTTTAGTATCGATTGGATCGGAGGCCGTCCTTGCTGTGGCTGGTCAGTCAGGGATATTTATAACTCAGTCGTTGCTAGCGTATCGACAAGGTACAACGTTGTGCTAAACCAAGGAGCCGGAAGGTTACCCTCTCTTTCTGGCGCCTTGCTTACCGAGCAGTCAGCGCTGCCATATCATCGTCACCATCACCGTCAATATCGGGGCCACCATCGCGAACTGGCGTTGAGATTATTGCATCCTACGGGGTACGTGTTGTGAGGTTTCAAGATGTGGTTGACAGTTGGTCGTCTTGTCACTGTGGAGAATAACACTTCTATGGGGATCCGCACGGGAAATATTGGTCATTCTACTATAATACAAGCCACGTGATATGTAACCTTAAATAAAGATTACTATTGGCTGAAAATTGCACACTAGTCTTAATATAGTGTATAGGCTAAATATAACTCAATCATTAATAAGCACTCACAACTCTTTGCTCAGGGGGACTTCAAGCTCTATTGATGGAATATAGTTCTATTCGCTTTCTATTCAAACTACGGCGTGAGTTGTGCGAGCTAAAGAGTCCGAAAAGACGCACGCATTTCAATTAATTGGCATGCCTTTGGCCAAGAGTAGTATTCAGTGAGCGAGTAGATAGTTACCTTGCTTCTTGGCCTGGAATGTCCGCCTGCGTCAAAGGTGTACAGGATGGTTGTATGTCGTAACAAGGTCCGGTTCACCATCCATACGCCAGCGATGATATTGTGCGATTCCCCTTTGAATGTTTGACGACAAGGGTGCTTCGCCTTTCATATTTGGACCGATGAATGCAAGCTAATGAATGAGGGCAATACACAGTTCAAGTCGGAATTTGGCAATGGTTATAAATGCTAAAGGAGTATGAGCCAAATCTATCCGTGATTAAGGTGAATTGTGGACGGATTATAGCCCAAAACATTGCAGCTCGAAATATTTTTCGGGTATAACGGAGGTGAAAGGTATAGACCATAGCCCCTCCCAGCTCATAAGGCTCGAAGAGAAACGTATATGTTTCCGCCCCTCGTTTATATACTGCCTCTCCGGTTGATCGCCGTTGGCCATCTGGTAGTAATGGGTTCGTATAATTATCATACATGGAGACACATCGAGTATATTAAGAAGACGTAGAAAGTGACATAATCTGGATCTTGCCGGGTTGATACTCATGAGGACTGGTTGGCCTGATGCGGAAGTTCCACGGGGTGGCAATAGTTTCCAGATGACGGCAATGATGGCTGCGGTGGATAGTCTGATTGCTGTGGTACTTCGGTATACCCGCCTGGCAGTTCTTGTGGTTTTCCCACGGGGGGTAATGGTGGCACGTCATAAGTTTCGGTCATGTTTGCATTGCTCTGGGAATAGCGTGCCTCATCGCGAGGGAACGTGTTCAAGGGGGAGTACTGTGTACTGTACACAGGTGGCTCAGCCCCCTGCTCATACCGTGGTGGTTCGGCATTATTCGCAGATGCCAATGCTGCACTTGGCACATAGTACAGTGCAGTGGCAATTGCCACAAGTAGAAATGTCCTTTGGAGGATATATCCCACGATGTCATCTTTGACCCATATCACGACAATATGAACGGCGTACTTGGAAAATTGAGCTATCGTGAGAAGGTGTGCAAGTGTCCGCAAGTTCTAGAAAAGGGGTTAATAAAAATCAAGCAGGATATGGAGAGTAGAAAACAGGGTAACGTTTTCGGGTCATCACATACACCACTCCTGCGAAGCTGAGGAGCTTTCCTAATCGCAATTATATGGTTGATAAAACCCATTAATGATCCAATAAGTCCTAGCACATAATATAAGATGAGGAAGATCCCTGTCAGGCCCGAATAAATCCCGTTGAAAAACCGTTTGGCCAGGTTGATGTCCACATTGGTATCGGTGATAAGCCATATCAATAATGCAATACATGCAATCAAGTCGGCCCCCATAAGCACGATAAGAATTTTATGGCTGATCGAGGAACCACGTGGTACTATCCCACCGGCACATTCATACATCAACCGAGTTATTGGAAGCAGCGTGGCGGCAAGTAATAGAAATCCGGAGAGAAGATCGAGACAGGTGCTGGCAATTCCGATCGTGAAGATAGGAAGTATGGCCGTAAACGATGATGCACATTCGCCGTAAACTGTATTCGCAAGGTCCAGCGTATGCACTCTGTCGTGGCTAAGTCAGTGATAGTATCAACAACAATGATCATGTATTGACTTACATTAGTTCGGCTCCAAGAGACAATGCCAGAACTGTCCAAAGTGCCCCCTCCTTTGCGTGACCATTTCTATGGGCCCGTTTTCGCCCGAGGCTATAGATATATACTAGAACCAGGCCACATAGTGAAAAAAGAGCAATGAATGTTAACTCCACTATCGATTCTAGGGACTCGAAGGCGTGTGAGTCACAAGTTGAGCCATTAGAGGGATGTTGAGGGGCCATCTTATTTCGGAAATAGCTGCAGATCCAGTCAGTACCGTCTGCTTGATTCTCTCACACTCCTTTCCGGCCCAAGGAACTGATATTATTCCGTTGTTTCTTGTAAATGAAGAATAATGGCTTGAATAAACAGAAATTTCAACAGTGAAAATAACAAACTAAAATTGAACAGCTCCGAGGATGGGAGCTGCTCTAAATAACAATAGCTGGCACTGCCCAGTTAAGCTCCCTGGTCGATGCCAGGGCACCCTAGCTGGCATCTCCAGGCATAATAAGCCTTCTATCCTCTTAGAGGGTGCAGATAAACTTAGTTAATTGTTGTCCCTGCCTGTACTCTGGGTAGTTAGGTGCTAACAGCCCCTTTCTCCCAGCACTGTAAGCGAGGGCCATTTTTCGACGCGGGAAACATCTTCATATCACTTGCCCGTTCGAGTTATGGGGAAGAACAAATACCGCAACGATGAGGGGTCTGTTTTGCTAATTTGTGGGTGCAAAAGACAAGCACACAAAGGGCCATCTAGTTAATAGCGGCCCAATTATGATCCGCATAATAGTAAAAGCACAGGGGTATTGGGCGTTTCCAACAGTACAACTGCTTGGCTTGGGCTTTCATTGGCGAGCCCCTGGTCCAAAAATAAAAATTCACAGCAAACTGCTGGCCCTCACATCGGAGACGTGCAATGTTGGATGTGGCTGCAGGAGTAGGTTGTTGGTTTCTGAGCCTGAAGTTGCGCAGTCGAAGTCGAAAAGGCTGAGCCCGCCGGCGGAGGGGCGGTCACGTGTTTCCGTGTTCCTGAAACGAAAAAAACATCAACGTCCAGCAGTGAAAGCGAAAGAAAGGAAAACAACGTCGACAATTGGAAGGCTTCAGAACACGGCGTGAGGTGGCTCGATTCTCAAGCTCCAGACAGCCTTTCAATCTTTTCTCTTGCGACTTACCCGTCCTGGACTTCTGACAAGGGTCTGTACCTAGCGCTACATTTTGCAAGCATTATTGAATTGGGACTTGAAACCAACCATCACTATTATTGGGGGCGATTCTTAACTCCAGCCCCCGTGAATGTCTCAGCGATGCATTGGTGTAAAAGCCATCCTTGAACAGACTAACTAACTATTAGTTATTAATGACAACTAATACCAGCCACGACTGGGTTGCGTTCTGGTGGCTGTGCTTTGCCCCGACACGTCCATCTGACTGCGACAACGCGCTCGATATAGTTACCCCTTGATGCCAACTGCTCCAATATGAGAGTATGACTATCCGTAGTTACTTAGTTCTTGTGTCGAAGACATACTCAGCCTCTTCCCCCCTCTCTCGCTCTCCAAATTATCCAGCAATACTTTTGATCTTGCCGAGAAAGAGGAATGGCGGGTGAATTGACGGTAGAGGATGGCCTAATGTGATCTATGAGATCTGGTGATGGTAGAACGTAAGCCCAAGATCAGTAACTATATACATGAAGTTCCACACTGAAACATGATGAAAGCCGATATCGAGTGTAGGGAGTGTCTTCCTGGAGACTCCCATGTAAACCTTTGTTTACCTTCCAGCTCTTTTATGGAGTATGTGATGTAACACAAGAAAGGTCTTCCAGAATAGATTACTTGGATGCTCATCGTTCTCAATAGTTATTGAGTTGGGACCTTGGTTCCTGTTGTCCACATAGGCTAACTTGTGTGACCTCCATCAACGCATATCCGCATATATTGTAACTCAAGCGATTTCCCCTCACAAGTCTATATCAATATGAGAAGGCAATCAAGATTGCAGTCAACCCTAGATTCAACAGTTTCGAATCCGATTATTGAGGTAATTGGTATATCATGCTAATAACTTCACTGATATCTATTTTGAGCTCGAAGGTATTCTGTGGCCAATGGGGCAGCTCTAAACTACTCCGTCCCATCGCTGAGTATCAAGAGATTCTACGTTGCAGAAAACTTTCATCTCTTGATTCTGTGAGTCGTCCTTTTATGTTCCCTGACATGCTCTGGGCCTCTTCAGTTAAGCGTAATTGTTAAATAGAAGTAGGGGGTATTAAAAGACGAGGAAACAATCCTGGTTTCCACAGGATATGACATGATGGAAAGGGTGGCCATTGGAAACCTGACAGATTGTTTGCCTGTAGCCCTCTGTTGGTCACAGCCTCCAGCCTGGTTAACCCTCATTCCGCTAAGTTACAAGTTGGATCGACATCATCTATATCACTGTCTGCCTGGCCTTGCAAGTACTGGGTGTGATACATTGACCTACGCCAACTCATTACACTATGCTCCTCGCCAATGCGCCGTCTCAGCAATGGCGTTTATTCCTTCATTCGTGGATGGAAAAGAAACCAATGTTCTGGGAGAGCTTGGGTGTGCCTACATTGGCCGCTCCCATTAGCAACAGCCGTCAGTCATTGGGTACCTTGTACCAGTGGTTGAGATCTGTATCGATTGCTCGTATTTTCTGGATACGTGTGGTGGCGTCATCTCATCGCGGGAGCTTGGGTGTTATTCTGCGGCCCAGATGGCCATTAAGAACCATGCTTAACTCCCGTGGTATGTTCTAGCTCACCATGTTAGCCATTTCCAAACTTCAGAGAGACCTCAGACTTGCGCTTACTAGTGCGGATAGCTTGATAGAACGGGATATGTTTCGCACAACCCGAGTGCCCGTATGTATTCTTCCTGGTCGCATTCCGTCCCGTGTAACAGGATCATCGCTAAGTCCCTTGTTTCTTGGGCACTCCGCAACCGCTACCGTCGTTTGCTAACCAGAGGCCGTGGGCGATTGCGCCTGAGAAGCCTGATAATGCCTTATTTACCGGATCCCCCTCCCCTGCTGGCGATCGTTCATTGGGAAATGTAACTAAGACAGGTGACTAACATCCTTCGTTACTAGAAGCGATTTTGAGTGAGTTGCATGAAGGCTTCCATCATTAAGCCCTCAACACCCTCCTTGTATTTCTGGCTGTAAGTAGTCGTGATTCCTGGTTGGGAGGGGCCCGAGATGCTGAGGGTGTTGAGGACTTTGAGTGGAGATGAGCCGAGTCACTGAATTCGCTTCGAGGAATTCAGGAGGGAGAGGGCACCTTATCACGTGAGGGTTATCTCACCCGCCAAATCCATCATATGACACTGGCATGACAGAAAGCACAGGGCCTTGCTCTTTAGTTATCTGGAGCGCGCCCCCAGTTGTTTTTCGACGGACTGGCTGGTCGTGCAGTCAACAAGGCGAAGCAAGTCGAGACAATTGATTGGTTTAAACTTCTCGCGGGGCCGGGCCGTGAGTGGATCCCGGAACTTTGCTCGCTGAGTCGAAGTTTATTGTGGCCTTGGCCTCTCACAGGTGGCGTTACCCTCCGCATCGTTGATATGGGATGATAGAGCAATCATCCGTACAACGAGTGACAGCAGATCGGATCTACGAGTATAATATATATATATATATATATATATATTATATATTACGGAGTATACACTACGTATTTGGTGCTGTTCCAAAATCTATGGCTGTGATTCTTATAACTGTTTACTCTCAGCATCGACTAACAGCACCCAGTACGGAGTACGGAGTACTCCGTACTTTCTCTTGTCTTTCAAGATTGGTTGGGAAGGGTCTCTTTGACCGTTAACTAGTTAGTTAGCTGCTGAACTGTACTCCGTACCAACGGCTGGGATCTAGCTCTATATTTGTTTTTCTATCGTTTTGCTGTCCTTGCACCCAATATTATGCACATGGGCCCCTCTAGGCTTCACAGCCTTAGTTAACATCCAACTAGTCTGGACTGTATTGAAACAATGCCAAATTTGCTTTTTCAAAAGTACTACCACCCCTGAACCAGTTGTTAAAGAAATTTGTCCCTGACTTTACTCCGTACAGACCGCAGTAACTATCATCTGTAGTTATGTTTGTTGTTTATTTATTTACTTCGTGTTTATTTTTTAATATACCACTCCCTTTACTCCGTATATAGATCACAATCCCATTCCATATATTTAAGCCTCGCTTGATAAAACACCTCTTTCTTTTTGGACATATAGACTCGACAAACTTTGAGACTCTGAAAATGGTCGGTTCTAGAAAAGCGTCGCAATTGCAGTACCCTTACCCGCACTCCCAGCGGTACTCTGTTCCATTGGCATTTAGAAAACCACAACAAAGTACAGGAGAGGAAGCTAGCTCTTCTTCACTACCAGGTATACACTGTTGTCTTTATTGCTTTGATATAATATTTACTTATGCCATTATAGGAAAAAAATCGTCCGCTTGTTGCTCATATGCCAGGCCCCAGCTAGACAAAGAGCCCGATAGCGTGGAGATGGTATCCCTTGAGATAGGAGATGAGCAGAAGGTCAAGGCCTACTATGAATCCGCCCTTGCAGCCTTCCAGCACAACAACTGTCTCCACATAGCAAAGTCATACGCCAAACTGATGGACCCGCGCAATGAAATCAATCACTCACACGACGAAGACGAGAAGGGGCCTCCAACGGAGGCCACTCCCGGCTGGTGGCCAGAAAACCTCATCTGCCGTGAACTCAATTACCAGATGGAGTCGGAATGTATACGCCTCCTTATCCACATCTTCCGCGACCTTGGAGATACACACGGTATCACTACAGATAAGCTAGAAGAAGCGGGCCGTGGTGTACGCAGACACATAAAGCCTCGTAAAAGACTTGTTATTTTGGATGAGATTTACAAGGTCCGGAGGGCAGAGGAGTGCTACAAGAAGGGTGAAATAGGTAAGTTTAGACAAAATGAAGCATATTTACTAAGCTGACATGACTCTAGATGCAGATACTGTAATATATGTAAACAAAGAGCACACAAGGGTCAAGCAAGACTCGCAAGTTGCAGACGACGCTGATTATCAATGTATAATTACGGTCTAGAAAAACATATATTCAGTAACTTATTATACACACCTTTTTAATTTATCAAGTGAAGCAACCATTATACCGAAGATTGTGAACAGACATAATGCTGGTGGCATGATTATTGTTGTGGAAGTTGTTGTTGACCAGTTCAAGCTTGAGAAATGCGAGGGAGGGATGAACCGGAGAATTCTAGCTTCTCAGCGCATCTCACACCTACGGTACGATGATCCGGCCATTACATCTATACCCTATTATCATCACTCGAATCATGATATTTCCTTCTCACTACTTTGGACGGCAAAAAAAATATGTACATCACACCAGCTTATGCACTCTTTCTTACAATATGTTGACGCCCGATCATCTCGTTCACCCCTACATAAAACACGGTTCAAGTTGATTTTCAGCTTCTTCAACTAAGAAGATTCAATCTAATAAACCCATCTTGCGTAGATAGGGATGGCAGTCAACCTAGTAAGGCCAACTCCGTTTTAAGAAATGTTGTCAGAGTACATATATATATAATGAATTACATTTTCAACGACTCCCCCTGAAATCATAGTGTACATAACTATGTTGCCAGAGAGACCTATATGGTATGGTCGTAAAAGACGAGTGCAAGGCGGCTGAATCCCCTGCACCCATGCTCCATACTCCATACAGTAAGATAATTAACAGCCATCAGCATTACACATCCTAATGGATAACCGCGAAGAAGAGGCTAGTTAGTGAAGGAACCGACAGATTTTTAGTTAACCCACATTTGCCATTGTTAACTAATTACATTTAAGCATGCGGCCCGAAGGCTTAACTAGTTAATTAACTTAGTTAACGAGTTAACTGGATTTTAACTAGTTTAACTTAGTTAGTTCATTAGTTAGTTAACTCGCTAATACTAGCTAACTAAGTTAGCGATCCTCAAAACTGAACAACATCAGACTGCGACCTTGGGATTCAGTTAGCGTACGAAGTACATGATTCTATTATCTAGAATTGTTAGCTATTGACAACCATGCCATCAAGCGAATATCGGCTTGGAGTAACTTGTTAACTACAAATCCCTGGCTATAACAGTTCCGTTGCCGGGGTACCTGGCTTGTTAGCCGATGTACCAACTCGAAACCAACGCAGCACTGTGGTCAGATAATTTCAGATCAACCAAGGCATTTACATATTTGCTAAACGGTGTCGTTTACCCATTTCACCATCATGACACTGGATGACATAGTTTTAACGTGGCGAAGAAAAGGCAGGTCTTGTCTCTCGAGGAGATGGAAAGACTGCTCAGGTACCAGGTGGCAATACGCAGCCGGCCCTGTGAGAAGCAACATTCCGACCTCACCCCAGTGCCCGCGACAGCCCTGAGAGAACCAGAAAGGAGCTCAATGGATATAAAAAGCAAAGTGAAATGCTAGATGACCGGGGGCTGCCAAGAAGAAATGCCTTTGTCGCACCTTTCTCCAGGGTATGTTCGCATTGGCTTACAGGAAGATTGAATATCATCTAATGTCGGAACATGGACCACAGGACCATGGGACAAAAAGGCCTTATGCCCCATGTCCACAACGGAACATGAGCCATCTGCGAGTTCTACAGACACAAGAGGATGACTAATCCTGACTTCTAACTAATGCACCTTTAGGCAATCGAACATGGCCAAGATAGGGTTTATATTGAGCATAACAGTCCAGCAGGCCTGTATAGTTTCACTAGCGTATATCGAATATCACCTTGGCTTCAATTTGGCCCTTGTGCTGACCGAGAATGAGGTATCGAAGATACTACCAACCACGAAGTAACTGGGTTACTCCGGGAGGAGATATCAGATATTTCCATCATGAACACCGAATGGTGGACTGACATATACGACCGCAGTTCCAAAATACTTCGTCCAGTACCTAGAAAAGCCCGGTTCCTATGCTATCACCCGAGATTCATGATATCATTTACACTTTTGCTACTCAGGGCCACAAATGGCCCACTTGTTGATGAACGAAAAATTTGATACCTCAACATTTCTCGCCGGACTAGGTAATTTGAGGGGCTTCCATTTCTCCTGGATATCCACCTTTCATTGCTTGATCCCAACAAGCAAATGATGTGGGACTTTCCCGTTCTCCTACCAGAATGCAGCTTTCATCGAGAATATCGAGGATTTTATCAGCTTTTCCATGTCAATCGGGTCCATTGGACGTAAGAATATCGTATCCCTGGAGCTTCACTGGGAGAGCAAAGCGGGTATATTTTCAACTGTACGGAGCACTCGTGTCAAGGAAGATCATAAAAGCCCACAACTGGTTGCCGTCAGCCCTTGTGTCAAGGTACGCGGCACTCCTCGGAGAATTTTTGAACTTGAAAATATTACATCTCCGGTCGACGATGGCATGTTGAATGCTGTGCATTTGGAATCCTTCAAAACCCACCCCAGAAATCTTGAGCTTTGTTCGCTCAAAGTCGAAAGGGTTCATCTAAACGGGTTTGAATCAAGTCTCGACCGAAATCAAGTCTCGATCGAGATGAGTTTATCAAACGGCGCAAAGGAGCTTTGGAACACTCATTAAATGAGAGAATATTCTCGATCCAGTATTTCCAAGGTATCTGGGCGGGGTTCAGGCATGAATGCCCCCATCCAATGCTTGGCCTATCGGACATATCGAATCTCGCAGCCTCACCTGACAGTCGAGCGTTGAGGAGCCGCTGCTGTCAACCCCACTGATTACCCACCAACCTAGCCAGTCAACAGTTAAGTAGCGAAGTAAGCTTAACCATTTCCTTGGCTACCTATCACCCGTTGACAAGCTTATTTCTGATCGTAAGATCACACTGCCAAAATCTGCCTCAGGACCGAAATATTAAATACCAGGACTCAATGACGAGGAAGCTTTTACCGAAAAGACACAGATAGGGGCCCATTTTTGGCCCTTCCTATGATCATGAACAATCCAACAATATCCATTTTGTTAGCTGCCTCAGGTTATCCAGGTACAAAAAATGCCTGTAGCCGTGGAGCACAGCATCCCTGGACAACTGGAAGAGCCAGGGTCGAAATCTAATTGTTGATATACCAAACGCAAATGATCCATGCATTGGACAGAAGTGCATAATAACCAGCTCCATTTTGAGGCCATTATGGAAACATTGGGATGCACCTCTCATGCAGTGCAGTACATATAAAGGGTGTCCTATCCCCTCTGTTGGCCCTCCATCGATCCAACGTTGACGAGAACACCCACGAAAAGCATTACACACGACAAAGATGAAGCTCTCAAAGCTGTTATCCTATGCCGCATCTTTCGGCTTCTTAGGGGCAGTGTCAGCAACTCCCCTTCAAACAAACCAGGGACTATCAGCCCGACAAGAGGTATAGTTTATGTATGCCACCACTCGATATCCTTCTCACTGAACAGCCGAATCTTACATATGGACAAAATATTCAGCCAGATATATTCCCAAGAAGATGCTTTCCAGACCCGTGCAAGCATATAAAATTCAATCCCGAATTTGCAGACTCAGTGTGCGGAGACCCACGGCTTGGACCGCTGACCCTACCAAGCCGTTTCCCCGTGTCGGTTGAAACAGCGACATATTATAGATATGGTGGCCTCTGCGCGGATGAGTTCATTTTAAGATGGGCTGGGGACTTAGACCCAAAGAAGTGGTTCAATTATCCAGAATTCGACGGCTTCGCGCTCGACTCTCAGGGCAAACCAATAATGGCTGAGGCTCCTCTAACCAAGGGAAGAAAACTGGACCGATTTGGAAGCCCGAAGGGCAAGTTTGTTGCGCCTTTGGGATCGCCATATATCTCGCGTTCGCTGCCGCCGTCAAACCTCGCACCAGGCAAAACAGGAAACTACCCAGACAACTATCACGTTTATGAGGTAATGAAACCATTCTCGGGTTTCTTAGGTCCGGTAGCTAGCTGGTTTGGCCAACCAGGCTTTGGCTCTCAGATTTATCTCAAAACTAGTGTTGAGGAGCTGGTCCAAGGAGGCTTCCTGCGAGAGTTGAAGGAGGAGGAGTTCGACGAACCATCCGAATACTCATACGACCCTTCTAACCAACGTGACAGGGCATAAGCGTTGGTTCCACAGCATATATAGCTAGATCTAATAGCCAATTGATAGCTCTTAATATATGCCATCAGTTTGTCTCAAAATGCAGGACCATACCCCGTACCTTGTAAGAATATACAAATTAGCACTTTTCAGTCTAGAATACTGTGTAAATTTTCCCAGCGATACCTTTCACTTTACAGTAACTTTGGCAGTAAACATGGTGACGGTTAAGGTTGGGGACTTGACGCCACTTCAGGGATGCATCAAGAACCATGACACGAGCTGCATAGTTCTTTGCGGGGAAACATGTCCATGCATAGACATATATATACCCTTCTCGTACAGCAGGCAAGATTCAGAACCCGAAAATAATATACTGCGGAATTGCCGAAATATTGGCCAGTTAATGTGAGAGATTTATCATGGGCCTTAACGAGATCCGAACAGCGATGCGAGTTGATCGCAGGAAGCCGGCAGCAGAGCAACCAGGAGTGCATGTAAGTAACTATATGAACCGATATAGTTAGTCGGCCAACAAACTGACATGAAACAAATCAACAGAATAGATGGCATCCTGACAGTTAGTGGCTTTCCTTTCACCACTGTCAGTATTGACATATAGTTGACCTTACGTGTAATTGTATATAGTTCCCGCCTGTGGCAGCATCAAGAACGGCGAAACAGTCAAGATCGAATGCCTTGACTGGACTGGTGGACAAATCAAGAACAATGACTGTGCAGATGATGTCCGTGACGTTGACCTGACGTACGTTCATTATTTAAGCGGGCCGTTTGATGTAGAAACGGCAGAGCCTGGAGACGTGCTCCTCGTCGAGATCCAGGACGTGCAGCAGTTTCAAGACGAACCATGGGGATTCACTGGAATCTTTGCAGCTAATAACGGAGGAGGATTCCTGTCAGAGTTTTATCCGCAAGCGTAAGGAGTCTGCAACCCCTTTTTAGATAATTGATGTCCAGTCTGATAATATAGATAGAGCGAAGGCAATCTGGGACTTTGAAGGGATATTCTGCTCCTCGAGACATATCCCTGGAGTTCGATTTGCGGGACTGATCCATCCTGGAATCCTCGGGTGCGCGCCATCTGCAGAGGTCCTGGCTGAATGGAACAGGAGAGAAGGACAGCTGATGGCAGAGAACGTGGGATCAGAAGTGGCGAAGCCACCTGAAGTCAAGAACGCACACGCTGGAGGAGCTACAGGTGAATTGAAGGCCAAGATACAAAAGGAGGGAGCTCGAACTGTCCCTGTATGACGCCTTTTGTTTATGCCCTTTGCATCTAGCATGTGGTAACTAAGACTATATACAGGGCCGGCCTGAAAATGGCGGAAACTGCGATATCAAAAACCTCAGCCGTGGAAGCAAAGTCTACCTTCCCGTGCACGTCAAGGGAGCCAAGTTCTCTGTAGGAGACCTGCATTTCTCTCAAGGCGACGGGGAGATCTCCTTCTGCGGCGCCATCGAAATGGCTGGTATCATCACGGTTAAACTCAGCGTGATCAAGAACGGCATGGTCCAGATGGCGATGAAATCTCCTATTTTCATACCAGGTCCAGTCGAACCCCAGTTTGGGCCCGGTCGGTATCTGACCTTTGAAGGATTTAGCGTCGATCATAATGGGAAGCAGCATCACCTGGACGCTACTGTTGCCTACAGGGAGACATGTAGGAGGGTGATTGAATACCTGCGTAGGTTTGGGTATTCGGATGAACAGGTCTATCTGCTGCTTAGTTGCGCGCCAGTCCAGGGCCATATTGCTGGGCTGGTGGATATTCCGAATGCATGTACGACGATGGGGGTGCCCATGGATATTTTCGACTTCGATATTCGTCCCGAAGCTGTTCCTGAGAAGAGGGATCTAGGGAGTTGCGCCTTCACCAGCGATCGCAAGGCTTAGTGCCAAACCTGCAAGACTACTATTAATTACTAGATAATAGTTCAGCCTTTTCTCGTCACTTTCAGAAGTCTAATGGTTTATTATCCTTTATCTTGCCAATGTTATCAGAGCATGCTATCCAGCATTATTTCCAAGGATATAATAACCGCATAGCTTCCCGTTTTGAAACGATTCTGCATCGACAGGTAGATGTAGAGTCATGGTGAAATGAAATGAGCAGAAAGAAAAAGAATGAAAGAAAGAAAGAAAAAAGCCAACGCCATAGGCTCCGGCTCCGGCTCCGGCTCCAGGTTTCTTATCCTCTTCAGTAAACCAAATGGCAAAAAATGGTCCAGTGAGTAATGAAAAAAGCGAGAACGTAATTAAATTACACGCTTTGTTCTTTTCTAATATAAAAAGGGGTTAAAATGTCGTTAGTTGGCGTACATGATTTGGGTTGCATATTGCGTCTTGTATGCGATAGCTAGGGTTGTTTCCATAAATTAAGAGAAGAATTTCTTTGCAGCAGCTTTGGCCTTGCGGTCTTGCTCAGCAATACTCTTCTTCACACGGGAGATCTCGGCAATGATTCCAGCGTCGTTGGGGGCAAATTTGGCAGCGGCTTCTAGGTCCTTGAGAGCCCCATCCTCCTCCTTCAATCCAGCAAGGGCAACAGCTCGTCGATAGTGGGCCTTTGCCCGGTCCGCATCCTTGGCTTTGGCATGACCAGCTTGGTCGAGAGCATATCCGGCCCACGTTCGGCCGTCATTATAGCGTTTCAATTTGTTAGCAAGGAGGGCGGAGTTAGAGTGGAGAGCAAATCGGAGAGTCATCATCTGTCCAGCAAGCTCTGGGGGGTCATTCTCAGAAGGCTCGGCATATTCATTAAGGTAGCGCAAACCCTTTTGGTATTTCTCCAGACCCAGCTGCACATCACCAGACTTGAAAGCAGTATTGCCAAACTCCTTAAGTTCAGTGGCAATCTTGAAATACTCGGGACCTGTGAACTCCTGGTCGTTGTCTTCTGGGTAGTCTTCATATGTATCTCCAGTTGGGTCTACAGCACGCTTAGTAGCGGTTTCATATTCATCGCCCGTAATTTCACCGCAGGCAACGACCTTGACTTCCGAGTGTGGCTTGTCACCAGGGCTGGTTGGGAGTTGTTCCACCTTGCGGACAAGTCCTTTGCCGTTGATCACTTCTCCGAAGACGACGTGCTTTCCATCAAGATGGGGGGTGGGAACAGTGGTAACAAAGAACTGGCTTCCATTGGTTCCGGGCCCGGAGTTGGCCATGGAGAGCAGGAATGGACGGTCATGCTTGAGTTGGAAGTTCTCATCGTCGAATTTCTCCCCATAGATTGACTCTCCACCGGTGCCGTTGAACTCGGTGAAATCACCACCCTGGATCATGAACTGCTTGATAACTCGGTGGAAGATAGATCCTAGTAGAAGGATGAACTTAGACACAGCTTCAACAAGGCCCAAGGTAGCGAAAGAAAAGCACTGATGTACGCACCCTTGTAGCTCAATGGCTTTCCGGACTTGCCCTCTCCCTTTTCTCCAGTGCAGAGGGCACGGAAGTTCTCTGCGGTCTTGGGGACGACTGTTTCACGTCAGCTTTTTCTCGTTCTGTCTCTCCGAGTAGAAGAAGCTGGATGCTAACCATCGTTGTACTACATATTATTAACCACCGTGTTAGTTATAAGTCCGCAAGGTACCGATAACCGAGCTCGACCAGACTCTGCAAAGCTTACCAGCTCAAACACAACCCTTCCCTCTGGTCTTCCACCAATTTCGATGTCGAAGTATACGCGCGGGCGAACTCCTGGAAGCAGGTGTCTGTCAGCAATAGGCTCAAGAGGCTAAGGAATTATGCTCTATGTACCTGAAGTTTCAGCCATGGTTGCTTCGGCCAGGCACAATTGCACTGTGTAGGTCTAACTATATTCTTCGATAACCGTCTTCTAGCACAGAGTGAGTCTCTGATATCACGGATAACTGAGGCAGAGGTGAGGAAGCGAGGAAGTGAAGAAGAAAGCGAGAGCAAGAAGAAGAAGAAGAGGCAGAGGAAGTTCAGGAACCTTCTACGCTTTGGGTGACCCGCGCGGGAGGCAAACAGTGCAAACATCCCCGCGCTAAGAGCAGCCACCTCGAGCCCTAAGCCCTGATTCCGCTTTGGGAAAGCAACATCTTTCATGTCTAAGTCTATATATAAAGATACAACAAGCAGTCCTGGGATGCGACAGGTCACCTACGAGAGATGAGATGTCTAGCTGGTGCTTGCACTGGCACTAGCACTGGCACTGGCGTTATCTTCCTTCTTTGCTGGATTTGTGTCGATTTCGAGCGTGACCTGAACCCCCTTAGCACCGGCGCTATACCTGCACAAAGGACAAGGGCAAAGGAGTACAGATACATACCGGTCCATCGTTGACCAAACCTACCTCCATCATGGCTTGGAAAACTCCGTCCTTAACCCGCTCTGCGGTGTACAGGTTCTGCACCTTTGAGTGGAAGTACTCATACAGCTCTCGAGCCGTCTTAGGATCTGCCGCTTTGTGAAAGTCAGGCTTGTTGCCTTTTTTCAAAGTAGCAAGCAGAGTGAATTGTGACACTGTTCGGCAAATAGGTACATGCATTAGCCTGGGAGACGGTAACCGAGGGGGGCAAACTTGGTAACTACCCAATAGGCGATATAATATGGATGTATCTACGTACCGCAGAGGACCTCCCCCTGGATGTCTTGCACGTTCTTCTTCCACTGGAAATAACCAAATAGGGCTATATCAGCGCTGCTATTGTTATAGATCCGATCTGGGGGTACATGAGAGGAGGATAGGTACATTTGCCCCGGTTTCATCGGGCCACATCTTCAGCTTCAACAGCTTGGCCGCTAGGGTATCTGCATCTTTCTGGGTATCATCTGGCCCGACAGCGGCAAACACCAGCACTCCACGGCCAATCGACGAAACAAGCTGTTTATCAACAGTAACCGAGGCAGATGTCACTCTTTGTAAGATCGCTGGATCAATAGATCAAGGAGATGGTTAGAAGTAGTTAGTCAATATGTGCTACGCCGGCTGTGTTCCCGGGGCTGAATTATGGGGGAAAGGAGGGGAGAAAGGGATGTCACACCTTTCATCTTCCCTGCCACGAGTGGAGATCCTAGAAGATAGTATCACGGCTATTTCATTATCATGCCATGTATAGAAGTACTCTGTCTTTTTATTTTCAACGAATGTATGAATCATAAAGCAAGTTGATATGGAAAATGTTGCATCAACTACTTATTATTAGTCAGCATTTGATGGCTCAGCCGGTGATTTACAATGGCTAGTTACATGCGCGTCTCACAGGCGAGGCTCTTTACAGTCAATGGAGGACAGAGGAGGCTATCCTACATGCACCTCTACCTGTACTAAGTGAGGTGACCCCCCACACACACTTGAGACCATAGGCTACTAAAAGAGGCATGAGGTAGCACCGTATAGACTTCGTATTATCTCCGATACATCTCAGATACAGCAGCTTATTCTTAGACACATTCCAAACTGTGAGGTAGTACAGCCTGAGCTAGCTTCTTGGAGAACCATCGGATTAGTCGTCGTTGTCGCCAATCTATCGCCCGTACTGGATAAAACGCCATGTATCAACAGGGGAGACAAAATGTCCAGCGGAAGGCGGCATGGGGCTGTCTGCGGCACAGCAATGCATGAATCATCCTCCATAATTAGCATGAGGAAGGTCGTCTCAAGAAGGGAATTGCAGATTCGGCTGATTGCTTCCCTTGGATCGGAGGGGGTTTCTGTAGCCTGGCGGCTACCTGCGTGCATTCTTTTGATCCCCTCCTCCATGTCCCCAAGCCCATCATCTAGTTGAAAGTACCCATCTGAGCCACTGCAACTGCTGGATATGCGGCACATGACGGCCACCGCATCTGAATCACCCGGCAAGTCAGCCAAAGGCCGTCATCGATGCCGTCAATGCCGTCGATGCTGTCGGACAAGCGAGAAATGACGAAGTGAAGTTGAAAATATCCAAATCGGGGCTCACTCACGTGATCCGGCGCTTAGTTCTTCCGTTAGTTTCGGCTTCCAAGATTCTTGGCACAAATCGGCTTGGCGCAACTTCTTGATGGAAGATGAAGATGAAGATGAAAGCAGTTCGAAAGCAACGGAACAGCTTCCCGCATCTCGCATCTCGCATCTGACCTCTTGCTCAGCTGAATTTACACGCGCCTGCACGGCGACGGAAACCATTGTCCCAGCACTACGCCGAAGCTGCCTGATTTCGTGGCCCGTTTCCCTCGCAACCAGGTTGACCACTGACGGTCTCATCCACACCCTGTACCACTCCTTCAGTCCCTGCACGCACGCACACGCATAACTATCTTGAGCTTCGGATCGAGCGCTCCTGAGAGCCAGGTTATGAAGACATCATCATGACTTCCCGAAAAACGCAGCAAGAAATTGACAAGACCTTCAAGAAGGTCGGTGAGGGCATACAATCCTTTGAAGGGATATATGAGAAGATCCGAAGCTCCAGCAACGCTGCCCAACGAGACAAGCTTGAAGACAATCTTAAACGAGAGATCAAGAAACTGCAACGGTTTAGAGATCAGATCAAGACATGGGCTGCCGGAAATGAGGTCAAGGACAAAAGCCCACTGCTAGAACAACGGCGAGCCATAGAAACAGTGCGCACTATATATCCCCATTTTCTTTCCCTAGCCAGCGTTAGGGAGGCGATACTAACACTCAGATCTAGTGCATGGAACAGTTCAAGGCTGTAGAGAAGGAAATGAAGACCAAGGCCTACTCAAAAGAGGGGCTTTCGGCCGCAGCGCGCTTGGATCCCAAGGAGAAAGAGAAAGCCGACACGTGTGATTTCCTGTCCTCAACGGTTGACATTCTACAGCAGAAGATAGAGGCTATGGAAGCAGAAGAAGAGTCTATACAAGCGTCAATGAAAAAGGGCAAGAAGGACATCGCCAAGTCGAATCGGATGGCGGATATCGAACGGTTATCGGAACGGCATAAATGGCACGTTGGGAAGCTAGAGTTACTCTTACGATCATTACAGAACGGCAATGTCGAAACACAACAAGTGCTTGACGCTCAAGAAGCCATCAAATACTATGCAGAGGATGGTCACAATCCCGACTTTTGCGGAGAGGACGAGACTATCTACGACGACATACCGCTAGGCGACGATGAAGTCCAGTTTGGCATGAACAACGACAACGACCGGGTATCATCACAAGACACTCAATCGATACAGGAAGATGACGCAGAGTCCCGGCAGGCCAACAAGGGCAAGTCAGATTCAGGTCCTGCACGACGGCCATCAACACAGATGAAATCCCCTCTACCCGTCCTTGCCACGCTCCATCTTAATGGCCCTTCGTCATCGTCAGCAAGTTCAATGAAACCTGCACCCCCTCCGGCACGGCTACCCGGAGAGACACTCAAATATGCCTCTGCTGCTGCCGCCGCTGCTGCCAGTGATAAGGCTGGTGTTGGGATTGCACCCCTACCACCACCCCCTGGTGCCAGCCCCGCCGTATCGGCAGCACAGCTTGCTTCCAAAGCGTCGTCAACGGCATCTCCTATGGTCCAGCCCGCACAGCCGGTGCAGGTACAACGGCTGATGTCCTCTGCTGGCAGCGCAGACGAGTCAGGGAGTCAATCCAAGTCGCCTACATTAAGCCCGAGCGTGACTGCAGCCAGCCGACCGGGGACCATGCCTCCTACACCTGCGATGTCCAAAATAGAAACATCAGCAACAACCCCAGCTCCATCAACGTCGGCCTCTAATAAGGAACGTACAGTGACGAATGGCCAGGCAAAGGGGAAGAGCCCAGATGAGTCGTCCGCAGACGAATCGGTATATCATCTCCCTCCAGGTCTCCAAGATCTGATTCACTCCTTTGAGGTGACCAAGTCACGGTCGACAGCTCCTCAATCCGCGTCTGTACAACGGTTATTGGTAGCCTCACATAGTACATGCCCAGAGCCGGGAGATGCGGAGAAGCCCCGTCATTACAAGCCCCAAACGCCATACACAACGCCACTTTATTACCCTCAGGAGACATTACCCATATTTGATGATCCACGACTATACGAGACCGGCAGAATAGATACAGACACGCTGTTCTATCTCTTCTACTACCGTCAGTCCACGTATCAGCAGTACCTGGCTGCCAAGGCCCTCAAAAACCAAAGCTGGCGCTTCCACAAGCTGTATCAGACCTGGTTCCAGCGGCACGAGGAGCCGAAGAACATCACTGAGGAATATGAGCAGGGTACTTATCGGTTCTTTGATTATGAAAGCACCTGGTAAGTTATATTCATCCCCCCATCTTTGTCTTCGTAATGGTTTGGGTTGTGTAGCCGGGTTCGGCACTTGGTTGCTGTCCCACGGCGGGCGTCAAAAACAGCTTATGCTAATAATATCGCGGCTGTTAATAGGATGAACCGACGAAAAGGTGATTTTAAATTTGTCTACAAGTACCTTGAAGATGATTTGTAAAACAGTGCAAGGCCGTCTGTCAGTGTCCGCCAAATACAATGACAATCGATTCTGTTGAAGTACAATGCACATCCCTCTACTGTCCCGTCTCTCCCCAATCTCCTTTTTACTCCTTCAGTCCTGTTTTTTGGTCCTGCATCTTCCTAATTCCTCCTGCGCTCACATAACTACGTACCTTACTCTCCCGCAACTTCCGTGTTTTTTCTCTTCTTTTTTAGCTTCTTGTTTTCTATTCATTGGATGAAAGGGAATGGGGAACGAGTAAAGTGAAATGATAGGCAATTCTTTAGTTACCTGGGACTGGAACCGGGCTGGGAGGGAGTTTAACCTGTTTGATTTCTTTTCTGACTTCGTTCCGGTGTGATGTCATTTTAATTTGTGAACTACTACTCCGTACCTCTTCCGAGTCTCCTCGAGAGTGTATTTGGCGCGCAAATCGGCAACCTTTGCTTTTCCCATTCCCGTCTTCTTTTTGCTTCTCCTGATTCTCCGGTCTCTCTGTATCCTCATGTGCCTTTCTTTACCTGGTTACTTCTCCGGAATATTCCCTCACAATTAGAGAGCAAGGCAAGCCAAGTCCAGGGCTCTCTCCCCTGCAGAACAGCCTCCCTTCGTGTTTTCTAGTCTCCGCTTCTTCTCGAATCCTTCTCTTGTGGGGGTTCAAGCGCAGGCAGAATTATTGGCATCGATCAGGGGGGCAGTGCTAGCGCGATGTAACTAACTAAATGCCGGGGTAGTGAAGAGAGGGACGGGCCATCGGCAAAAAGCTGAGGCTGTCTTCAAGGAGTACTTTCGTTTTCGCACCTGACCGTAGTAGTCAAGGCGAAAGAGCCCTTCGAGCCTTTTCCAGCCTCCAGGCACACACCGTTTACTTGGTTGTTGGATTTATCCTTTCATTGGCATTCACGGTCTTGAGGCAGTGCTGGAAGAAGACTATTTAGTTACAGCATTCGAGTTTGACCTCGCCAAAAATAAAATGAAACGAGAGAGGGCTTATTCGCTACTTGGGAGTCTCATGATCCAGTACTATAAGGCGACGTGTGTTTATTGCACTGGTTGGCTGGTTGGTAGCCCCGGTGGTGCTGGCTATTGGTTCGAGAAAAATTGTCCCTCCCTCTGAAATTAATAATAATGAGTGATCAAGTTGGGCACCAAGAAAGCAGGGCAGCAAAAAGGACGAAGATAAAGAGACTGATTGTTCCACGAGATAGCAATAGCTAATAGCGGAGGGGAAGAGGATAAGACATGTTAAATAACTTATAAGACCGCTGATGCCGGCAAGCCTCTTCTCGTTCCTGATTTCTAATGTCCGACGTCTGCTATCTCTTGCTGTGTTATCAACTCTAGTTATTGCTTGTGTTTGATAGGCCGTCCAATGCCGCGTAAAAAATGAAAACATAATTAACTGGACTGGAAAGGTTATTTCCTCGGAGATGGGCTGCTGTGATTGATTCCCCCTGATGAGATGGATGCCTTGACGCCCTCTTTGCGCTTTGCCTTGGGGGTGCTTCGTGTAGAGGCCTGCCTGATACCTGAATCGGTTGCATGTGCAGCCCAGCACTGGAGACGGCGAGGGTTGCAAAGGCTGTGTCAGTAGAAGCAGCACGAAGGACTCTGTATGGTCTCGAGTTTTCTCTTTTCTCTATTTTATCTATCAACTTTGATCCTCGAGTTGAGTCTGTCAGTCTGTCAGCCAGTTCTTCTCTCCCAAGGCCGAAAGCTAGAGGCGAGAGTCCGCCTCGCCCTACCCTGCCACGCCAGGCTGGCTTGCGGCATTTTTAATCGGTCGATGAAGCTGAGGGACCATTGCACTGCCAGCAAGAGACGAGGGACAGGCCAGAAGACGGGCTAGAAGGGAGCAGGATGGGCAATGCTGGCCATTTTGATGCCTGACGTTCGATGTTTGACGTTGAAGACGAAGAAGAGAAGAAGAAGAAGAACGAAAAGGTGAGAAACAGCCAAAAAGGGAGGGGAAGTGCTTAGATAAGCAAGACAGCGGACTTCAACCTTTTTTTCTCCAGAAGAGGAAAAAGACGACGACGAAGATGAAGACAACAAACATCCAGCGACTCGCTGGCACAGCAGAGACGTCAGAGAAGCGGAGAGAGACAGAGAGACAGAGAGACAGAGAGAGACGGGATAGCAGAGACAGAGACACGATGACGGCGATGGTAGCAACCTCATTAGGCCGGGGTGGTCGGGTTTGAAACGCCTGCATGGCCACGTACCTGACGGAGAGACTGAGGTGACGCTGGTGACGGCGGCGATGATGCTTGATGGTTGATGGTGAACGCTGCACAGCATCTGCCCGACGCCTGCATAGTACTCCGTACACCTCTCGCTCTCTGATTACTCTCCGTAACCGTGTACTTACATACGTGCCGTATCAGAAAATATACTCCGTGCTTGGCTAACCAAGTCGACAGGTCGCACACGATTTAGCGGGTTACACGGGGTGCATCTCTATTGCAGGGTTATTATTAACAGCAGGCCCGTTATTGATTGACTGGTCAAGGAACATTCTCCAGCCAGTGAGAGTGAGCGGTCGGGTTCCTCGTTTCTTTTTCTCTGGCCTGTCGACATGGCCTAAACGGCCCTAAAAAAGGAACAACTCTTGTGGAGCAACCACAGGAAGAAGATCCAAACGACCACTGCATCTTGCAGACACCCGGTCTATCACTCATCCTTTGCCCATCCAAACAATATCACCATGATGGAAATCCCTCAGCTTCAGGCTCCATTGTCGGCCCGCCCCGTCATCGATGCTTACGAGAGAGGCCTTTTCTTCACCGCAATAAGGGTGGTGTCCGTATCAGACTAACCACCCATGGGCTAACTAACTAGCTGGCTTACTGGAATGAGGCGAAGGCGAGATGGATGGGAGGGCTGAGCAGTCGGTCTCCGTCTCATACCACACACCCCCATCCCATCCTATCCCATCTCGAATGACCAGTTGACCACCAGCCAGTCTGTGTCTGCCCTTCCGTGGAGTTCTCGCTCCGTTCTAAGTTAGCTCTGTCTATGCGAACTTGATCTCCATATCATCCTTCCCTCTTACCACTGCATATGCTCGTTTGTAAAACCATCCAAGGTCTCCTCAGCCTTGCCCGCTGTGGGACCAAAGGTCACTCCTGTCACCCCTCCGGCTATTCTACGTCTCTTCCTCTGATATCTGGTTTCCGGCGCCGATTGCCGGTCGAAGCGGACTCTGCATGTACCGCCATTCCTTTGTTTAAGAGGTTGCTCTTATTACTTCATACTCAACTCGGCGGTTTCCATTCCGCTGCCCCTTTCTTCTCCTGTCCTTATGATTAGGCTTGTCTCCTATCAGGATCGAGCTGATATTCGCTTACGGCCAAATATCATCTTGCTTCACTTCTTCTTCCTCCCCCTAACCAATTCTTTTGCTTCTCTAATACGTACCCGCCTCTCTCCCCGACGTCATTTCCTCTCTCGTACTCTTACAGAGAGGCTGTGTTCCCATCACTCTTCATCCACGTGCAAAGTGCACTCCTTATTTTCTATTTTATTTTTTTCAAAACAGAGAAGCACTTGCTGCCCGCTCATGTAATCGTGCCACCTGGGACCAGCGAGTTATCTGGCCAACCAACCTACTGGGTGTTTCTAAATGCATGGGGGTAGCATAACCGCTAGCTTCACTCTTTGCTGTTGTTTCAATCGAACTCATCTTCCCCTCGTCGTTTACCCCTCGAGTCAGCTCGTTAACACACCGAGGCTGTGAAACGTTCGATGGGCATCATTCTGCTTGTCTTGCATTGCTGCTTAGGTTATCTGAGGATCTGCTGCTTTCTGCTGTTTCCCTTCTCCTTCCCCTTCCCTTGTCACGTGTGGCTGCAAAGGCTGCCATTTCTGTGCTAGGTGAAGGTTCGCCTCCTTTTCTCGCTGGTACCTGAAGGGTATATAAAATATCACCAGTGACCCCCCCATCTCTCCATCCCTCCCCATCCACAATCACCATACTACTTCAGACATTACCTACAATACTCTTGGAGCCCCTTTTTGCTCAAAGGACATTCCTCTTCTCCCTACGGCTTGACATTGAACACTACCAACTACCCGTCTCAACCTTTACTACTCACACCATGTCTCTCCCTTACCGTCAGAGGCAGACTACCTACCAGTCTCCCGTCCGCGGAGAGTCCTGGAGAGAAATCCCTGATAATACCTACACTACCTCAACTCGGTCGCTGCCAGGCCATCTCTCTCCTCTGGCTCCTCCCATGGCCTACTCAAGCTCGACGGACAGCAACCTATCCATCTCCACATCATACAGCGCAGCGTCAACATACTACAACACCATCCAGTCATGTCACTCACCCCCAAACTCATATGAATATGACGCTACCTGCGAGTACGAGCCACGTAGTTCGACGCAGGGGCGGCCCAAAAGCCACTCCACCTCGTCCAATCAGGAGTATATCTTTGATGGCCAGACCATGGCTGCCCTTCCCTCCAGCCCCAGATCATCAACAGCTGCAGAGAGGTACGTTGCCACTCCAACCCCATACTTTGCCCATCAATCACGTTACCATAACAGACAGACTAACTCCGGTTGCCACCCATCTAGGTCTACCCAGCGGTTTATCTGCCTGTACGAAAACTGTGAAGGCTCGTTCAGCCGGGTAGCTGATCTGAGCCGACACCAGAAGTCAATCCACTTCCCGACGAGAATGGATTGCCCCAAGCCACGCTGCAACCGCAAGGGCTTCATGGGTTTCACTCGCGAAGACCATCTTACCGAGCATCTTCGTCAGTTCCATGGAGAGCAGCTAGCCAAGCGTACCTCCAGCAAGTCCAAACGTGCTGAGGCTACATGCTAAGCTTAACAGGCGACCACCAACCTATTTCTCGTCCTTCTTTCACTTCCTGCCAGAGAGGCAGAGAAACTATATTCTCATTTCATTGCATCCCCTCGATATTTCGGATTGTCTCAGCCCTGATCTAAGAAGCATTTGCATTGCCTAACCTTTGGATTCTCCTTTTTGAGCTGGCACTCATCTGCAGATGAACCGACTTTGTTCGTTTTCTTTCGATTTATTCTTCCATTTTATTCTATTGCCGTCAAATGTTCGAGTGGGACTTGTCTCCCTCGAACATTTGTACCTTGCCTTTCTTGACCTGTTTTTCAGTGTCTCTACAATCTACCCAGGACAGTGGCGTTGTGTGGACACAAACATCTTTTCTTTCCTATCTCTTTCATCACGCACTAATTATGAGTCTATGCTCTTTAATTCTTTCTATTTTCTCTTTCTCCTTTTCTTTTTCCCTGATTTTCTTACTCTTTTTTCTTTTCTTCAGTGTACATGATTTCTTCCTTTTTTTTACCTTCCTTTTTTCTCCCAAGCTTTTCATCTTCTCGTGTTTTGAACCCTTATCAGTATACTTCTTTCTGTATACGCCAGGTGTATATCATGCGGAGCTATCTCTTTACCTTTCCATTTCTCATAACTTGGTCCAGAATACCGCCTATCACGCTTGACAATACCAAGTCTTGAAATCGTGAAACTGAACCCAGACTCATCCCCAGTGGCTCAACTTCCCCCTTGTTTTCATTTTCTTTCTTTCTTTCTTTCTTTCTTTCTTTTTTTTTTTTTTTTACTTTACTTTATTCCTTTTTTACGTTTAGCCTTTTCAGCATCACTATTGCTAGCATCCTTTTCATGGGGCAAGTGTATAACAGGGGGTGATGGGAACGGGCTTACACAGGCCTACCGGTCAACAGGGTTTGTCAGACGCTTGGGTTTGATGGCATAATGGGTACACGGAACTGACAGAGCAAAAGGAAATATAACGAAATTACAGCAAAAAGAAAAAAAAATCTCCCGAAACAGGCAACTATCATGAGGGCACCATGAGGGCACAGGCTCATGGGAATTATTTATCGGAGCATTTCAGCGTTAACGACCTTGATGACTATCTTCTTCTTTTCGGCTCGGCTCGGCTATTTGAACTTGTTTATTAGTACCTAGGTGATTAGCATGTAGAATGGAATTCATCGTGATGTTTTCGGTCATTATCTTTTTTCCATTTCACTAGCCATCCAATCCCTCTAAAATCACCCCACCCCATACTTTTCGAGAAGGCCCAAATCGGAAGAGAACAAAGTTTGGCTTAAGCTTTAAGCTTTTTAAACTTTCGGGAGGAGAGGGTCCCCTGACCCATAAAAAATGTTATTCTCGCTATAGTTATCATACAAAGGGAGTAGAGAGTAGAAGTGGACGAGAAATCAAAGTACAGGGGGAGGAGAGATGTCATTATCATCTTTGAAAATCCAGGATTTCCAGAACAGCTTTTGTAGGTTCTCTTCTGCATCGGTATATATCTTTACCCGCAGTCGCTGAGCCATTTCAAGAGCATACCCAAAATCATCTGGATGCGTGCCGCCCTCTTTATCAACACCGAGATTCTCAAGTATGGTGGACAGAATCTCTTCGCACTCCTTCCACTCAGCCGCATCATGTAGTATTTCCCTTTCGTCCTCAGGAGAAAACGAGATCGGGCATGGATCGGGTATCATTCCTTCCCAGATCTTGGTCAGTCCAACCAGGGCTGCTTTTAGGTTAATTAGATCAGCATCCCAAGGGTATCCGGCATGAGAAATAAGATATTGTATCATTCCAAGGCCAGGCAGGCGAAGTGCTTGCAGATGCAGGCGATTCTCAAGCCCGGTAGCCGCGTAGTAGTATAAGTTGGCCTTTTGCAAGCGGAGCTTTATATCTGCCTTCATTCGATCCACCTCATTCAAGTCCTTGTAATTTTCAGGAGGTTTGGGTTCCTTTAAAGATTGAACTCGAGAAGGGTCATGTTCACAGAATGCAGGGTAGCCAGCCTGCATAAAAAGTGGAAGAATAGCCGCATCCTGCCAGTCGATTATCGATTCTATCTTGTTTGTTCCGGGGGTAAGAAGAATATTAGGGAAGCTCATGTCTGGATGGCGTAATATCGGCGTTGCCATCTCAGGCTGGGTCGGAACTAAGAACGAAGAAACCTGTAGATACTGTGATAGGAGTGATATATGTTCTCTGGGGCTGATATCTTCCTCTGTTGGTAGGAGGAAGGCTCTTCTGGGCCTTGGTTTCCCGTACTTAGACGTCCATGCAAGTTCTCGACGAGCAGGTGAAGCAACACAGTCTGCAGGATTAGTCCCTATAGATTGAATCAGACACAGGGACAAAAAACAAGAGAGGGATGTAGGGGCATACAAGGACCACGGTCTAGCTTCATGTCTGCCCTCTCACCATGCCAGAACTGGCGTTTGCAGATAGGTCCGATGCAAAATTCCCCTCCACCCGCCTCGATATCCACTCTTGCCTCTTTTGGTATATCAACTCGGTGGTACAAGCTACCGTATGCCGGAAATCTGAAATCAAATATCTTCTTCTCGATATCCACTATCTGCATCATTAAGTCGACCATCTCAGCCTTGGAAAGAGAAAGCCATCTTGAACTAAGCGGTTCGCCCTTGAGCCGCTCCATCAGAATATATTCAGCCCCGACTACATTGTCTGATGTTGCCGAGTAGGCAAACACTCGAGGAACAGAAATGTGTAGGACATCCCGAAGAAACTGCATGGTAGCAGCTTCACTGGCTGTCGTCAGGCGTGGAGGCCCAGCAATGGGGGTTGGGATGCGGGCAACAACTTCACTGCCATCGTCCATGGTCAGGAGAAAAACTCTGTTAAACCCCCCTTCAGCGAACTTGACAATATTTCTACAGTGCTTTCGATTGACGGCCTTTACAGCTGCGTGCTGCAGCTCTGCGACGTTGAACCTGACATGACGCTCCCGCAGTCGAGCATCTTCGTTGCAACTAGAGAAACACGATGAGAATCCGAATTCAAAGCAGCAGCTAACTTAGCATGAAAGGGACAACTTACATCCACCTCCTCGAGGTATCACGGAAAAAAGTCTCTGCATCTGCTGTGGCTGACGTCGAAGCTTCTCTGGCCGCTACCCCAAGACGAAGTAGGCGGCAGCCCAGGCCGAGATGTCTGGTCGGGATGGTCACTATCATCCTTTGCAAGCCCTGCTGCAGCTTCAGGCCTGACGCTAACCAAAAATCGAAGATTTCATTCTCATGCGCACGATAATCTTGATTTTTGGTTAGCATCTCCCGCTGCTTGCTCCAATAGCGTTACCCGGCTCAAGGCTATCGTTGCCTTCTCAAGAGTCAACAAACGAACTGGCAATTGTCTAGCCGGACATAGTACATAGACTGAAACGCCTACATTTGATATAAATTTAAATGACGGCAGAGAGCAGCAAAACAGTGGTATACGTTACGAAAACGGAAAATGGGAGAATTGATGAAGGAAAACCTCAAGGTAAGGTCGGTTTGAGGAAGTTGAATATCCTCAGCAGACTCTGCTTGTTAGTTTGGGGGCTGCGTGTCAGAAATGTTCCATGCGGGTGCCCATCTCGTCGCTCTGAGGCTGCGAGTTCACTGGCGGCCGTTCATTTTTTTTTTTTTTTTTTTTTTTTTTTTTTTTTTTTTTTTTTTTTTTTTTTTTTTTGGCCAAGGATAGTTAAGTTACGGGAATCCCTGATGGGGGAATCCGTTCTCTCTGTCGCTCGTTTTTAAATGTCGTTTTTAGAAATTCAATGGAAAGGATTGGAAGCGAATAATGGGGGGAGAGTAAGATACCTGCACCTGACTGTGTAGGTTGTAGGCTGTAGTTACAGTAGAGATGTAGTTAAAAGCCGCCTATCTCCCTCCCTTGGTGGCTACGATGGTTAAGCCTGTGCTCTTCCATCTTGTGCACTGTGACGGTACCCCAGCTACTCTCAAGCATGTCCACTTACATACAAATGGTCAGCATGAACGGTATTAGCCCTTTATACCCCTTCACGTTTCTCAAATTGTAGACAACGTCTCATTAATTTTGGCCTGCAGGAACGTTCACACCGGGTCCGATCATTGAACCGCCTCCATGCTCGGACGGGGGTGGCTATGACACTCCTTCCAAGTCTTCCATCCATGCGTATGCCGGCAGTCTTTCTAGCAACACCCACACTCACGATAACAGCACAACCGAGCAAGAAAAATCCACGCCCAGGTACAAAAATATGGTTGAGGATCTTGAGGGAATAGGCTCCTGGGCTGATGATCAGTCACTTCAATGAGCGTATCCTCGTTTCTCTCTCATCATATGTCCACTGCTATGTTCTGTAAACATTATATCATGTCAATTTATGTATCATATAATGAGATTGCAGAGACAAAGGAATAAACCCACATTATGACTCCTTCCCCTCCAACACTTCACCCATGTCGGCAAACTGGGTAAAAATCTCTCCGCCTGCCCTCCCTTTCGCATCAAAAACCACCCCTTCACCACGCAGCAGCTTCGTCTTTTCCACTGCATAAGAGCCGCCATTACCCCAGCTGCCCTTATACCCGCCGATGGTGCGGTTCGACGCTAGAACGCGATGGCAGGGAACCTCGGGTGCAAAGGGATTGGTCTTCATTGCATTCCCTATCGCCCGCGCGGAGGAGGATAGGTGGGCTGAGAGCATTGCATAGGTCGTCCACTGACCCTTGGGCACGGAGAGCAGAGTTCGGTAGACCCGTCGTCTGTAAGGAGTGAGAGATGGGTGTGAGGAGATGCGGTCCAGCTGCTTGCGGAGGAATTCTGGGTCCTCTTCAGCTGTTGTAGTTGGCTTCTGGGATATCATAGAGGCTGACGAGAGGACGATCTTCTTCTGCAACCCAAAGGTCATTCGAGATGCTGAAGTCGACAGCTTCCGCTTTGGCCTCGTCCTTACTGCGGCAGTCATTGTTGCTTTCGCTTCTTACTAGCTGTACGCCTGGTTTAGCTGGATATATAATGATGAATCGCCGTTGCAAGAAACTTGTCGAGACGCTCGAGACGCTCGAGATGCAGGAGGTTGCTTTGTCCCTTTTAATATCGTCGTCGCCTTCGGTCGCGTCGCGATTTGTAAGCTTGTCGTCATTATAGCCAATCAGAGGCCGCCAATGAATATCTGGCCTCCGCGTAAGCACGTGACTTAAATTGTTATGACTAAGCTGATGCTTAGACAGAAAAGGCATAGCTCCAGGCCGCATGACTAATGTGCTTGGCGTTCTTGGAGCCTCCAAAGAGGCGAAAATCCAAGACGTTTTTCTTTTCTTTTTCTTGCATTCTCGCTTGCGCATATCAAGACGCTCCGGGATGCCTCCTGCCAGGGGCAGATCCTTAGCAGCTTTGGTACTTATATGACATCTCCATGATACCGAAGTGTAGGGATGCCGTCAAGCGGAGTTACACTGTTGACGCAATGATGTTCGGCACGCTGAGCCCCCGACAAATAGGCTCACACTTTTCCCGGGATCGCTTCTCCACTGCGGACCAAATGCTTTGACGAGACATGCATCAATGCCGAGCTGTTGCAATACTTGTGATATCGACAATGGCAGGTTCTAGCCGATCCACCACCATGGGGCTGATGGCAAAGTCCAAGACAGCCATATATCGTCTCCAGGTCCGCGCATTGTCTTCCACCTCCCGCTCGCCTTAAAGGGCATTCGTTTGAAGCCATTCTATACGTCACAATGACACAAAAGATTCACCGGTGGAATATTACCCACCGGCTCGAGAAGCGCTCGCTGCTGATTGCGATCAACAGCGTAGCTGCTCTATCCATCTTCTTCTTCGGCTATGACCAGGGCATGATGGGGGGCGTGAACAACGCCAAACACTACATTGAGCTCATGGGCTTTGGGCATACAGAGGCCGTCAATGGGTCAAAGCACAGCCCCGTCATTACTGACAGCTTGCTTCAGGGGGGGATTGTGTCGGTGTATTACCTCGGCACTTTGGTGGGAGCTCTTGCCGGTGGAATGGTTGGAGATAGACTGGGACGCATCAGATCAATCGCCCTGGGTGCTGTTTGGGGAATCATTGGAGCTGCATTGCAGTGCTCTGCCCAAAATCACGTCTGGATGATTTTTGGTAGGTTTGGTCGCGTGTTCTCAGTTGATTGATGCTTTACGAGCTAACGTCTCCATGCAGCCCGGTTGATAAATGGTATAGGTACGGGCATATTGAATGCGATTGTGCCGGTATGGGCCACAGAAACAGCAGAGCACAAGTCTCGCGGTCAATTCATTGCAATTGAGTTCACTCTCAACATCTTCGGAGTTGTCGTGGCCTATTGGTTAGAGTTGTATGTCTCTCACTTATCTACCTTTCACCATGAGACTATATTATTAACCAAAATTTAATAGTGGCCTTGCATTCATTGACGATGGTGCGACTGCTTTCCGCTGGCGTTTCCCAATCGCCTTCCAGATCCTCCCCCTGCTTCTCCTGTTTGGCATTGTCTGGCTCTTCCCCGAGTCTCCCAGATGGTTGGTCAAGAAGGGTCGTGATGAAGAGGCCCGCTACATCCTGAGCAAACTCCGAGGGACTGAAAGTGAAGAAGACATTGCACGCGCAGACGCAGAATTCAACGATATCAAACAAGTTGCTGCGCTCGAGGAGACATACAGCACCTCGTACTTGTCTATGTTTACTGGCCGTGGGTCAGGGAAACTGCATATCGGACGGCGTGTCCATTTGGTTGTTTGGCTGCAGATCATGCAGGAATGGGTTGGCATAGCTGGTGTTACTATCTGTATGTCCACCCTGAATACCCTGTATCAATTCAGTAATGACTAACAAGAGAAGATGCCCCTACCATCTTCCGCATTGCAGGCTTTGACGCCATAAAGAGTCAGTGGATCAGTGGTCTGAACAATATATTTTACATGGTATGTTTTGCTTTTACCTCACATAACCTATAGCAACATTTACTGACTTAGATTTTTAGTTCGCTACGTTAATCTGCGTCTTCACTCTTGACCGCATTGGTCGCCGCTGGACTCTCTACTGGGGCTCAGCTGGCCAGGGAATTGCCATGTTCCTTGCTGGCGGGTTCTCACGCATAGGCCTAGATGCTACCGCAGCAGGAGACGGAGCCAAGGCCGCTTCATACGGCGCAGCGGCAGCATCGATGATCTTCATTTTCACTTCGGTGTTTGGCGCCACCTGGCTTACCGTTCCGTGGCTCTATCCCGCGGAAATTTTTCCACTTGCAGTCCGGGCTAGAGGCAATGCATGGGGTGTAGTTGGCTGGAGCGTTGGTAATGGATGGCTGGTATGTCTATCTCTTTCCATCCTTCCCCCTGGTTTAACTATTCTAAGCTAACTTGATGATAGACTCTACTCTGCCCTGTGATGTTCGATGCCATTGGAGAGAAGACGCTTTACATCTTTGCCATCAGCAACGCCATCACTATCCCCATGGTGTGGGCACTCTATCCAGAATCCAACCAGCGCACTCTGGAGGACATGGATCTCCTCTTCGCTGCTGACACCCCCTGGACCTGGGACGCTGAGCGCACTTTTGCTGAGCTCAAGGCCCAGAATACTTCTCCTGAGATTAAGCAATCTGTATAGAACATACCTTCATCTATAGACCAATGTATTTTCAGACCTACTCACGATCTAGTCTCCATCTATCCATCTCTTGTGTATATACAGCTACCTATGACTCTATGACTCCCATATATATATGATGACTAAGCGGACCGTAAAAGGCCGACGGAGAGCGCGCGCCGGCGCCGACAGCGAGCTAACCGCTTTGGGCAGCCAGCGCAGTTTCAACGCAAAAAGAACTTCGACTTCAACCTCCGACTTTGCTTCACGATCGTGACATTTCTTTCCATCTCCATCCTCCAAAGCGCTCGCGAGCTGCCAATTGACTGCTGTCGCTCCCTCTATTTCCTCCTCGAAGCAGTGCTTTCTCCTTCCAAGCTTCTCTCTCCCCAATCATGTTCCGTACGGTCGTTCCTCGCCGTGCCTTTCAGACGGCTTGGGCTCCGTCCCAACGAACCGCCGCAACCGCTTACCCGGCCTTTGGGGCTTACATTCTCCCCAGATCAAGGAGAGGATACGCTACAGAGTCAGGTAAGGCTGAGATAATACCCACTGGTTTGGACCGTGATGCTGTTCGGGAAGGCTGACCGTTTGCCGTTTTGTTATTCTGGTAGAAGAGCATGATTTGGTCATAATAGGCGGCGGGGTGGCTGGCTACGTTGCTGCCATCAAGGCCGGTCAGGAGGGCCTAAAGGTACGTTGATTAGCGGCTCCTTTTAACTCCGGGTGCGCGCTTGACCGTTGATTTCTGACATTGGCCGGGTAGACTGTCTGTATCGAGAAGCGCGGTACCCTAGGCGGAACTTGCCTTAACGTCGGCTGTATCCCATCAAAGTCTCTCCTCAACAACTCCCATCTCTACCACACCATTATGCACGACACGAAGAAGCGCGGTATCGAAGTTGGCGATGTCAAGCTCAATCTCGAGCAGATGATGAAGGCCAAGGAATCCTCGGTCGAGGGTCTCACCAAGGGAATTGAGTTCCTCTTGAAGAAGAACAAGGTTGACTACCTCAAGGGTACCGGCTCTTTCGTTGACCAGAACTCCGTCAAGGTTGAACTCAATGAGGGTGGTGAGCGTGTTGTCAAGGGCAAGAACATCATCATTGCTACCGGCAGTGAAGCCACCCCATTCCCCGGATTGACCATTGACGAGCAGAAGATTATCACCAGCACCGGTGCTCTTTCATTGAAGGAAGTTCCAAAGAAGATGGTTGTCATTGGTGGTGGAATCATTGGTTTGGAGATGGTATAACATTTTCCGCCTAATATTAAGCTTGCATGTGGAAAACTTTAACTAATGGCCATTGTTGTAGGCCTCCGTCTGGTCTAGACTTGGCTCTGAAGTCACCGTCGTTGAATTCCTCGGTCAGATCGGTGGTCCCGGCATGGACGCTGAGATCTCCAAGCAGGCCCAGAAGCTCCTTGGAAAGCAGGGCATCAAGTTCATGACCGGCACCAAGGTTGTCAGTGGTGACGACAGCGGTAGTACCGTTACTTTGAACGTTGAGGCTGCCAAGGGTGGAAAGGAGAAGACCCTGGAAGCTGACGTCGTTCTCGTTGCCATTGGTCGACGACCATACACCGCTGGTCTCGGACTCGAAAACATCGGCATTGACATCGACGATAAGGGCAGACTAGTCATCGATCAGGAATACCGAACCAAGTCCGAGCACATCCGTGTCATTGGCGACTGCACTTTCGGCCCTATGCTCGCTCACAAGGCTGAGGAGGAAGCCGTTGCTGCCGTTGAATACATCACCAAGGGCCATGGCCACGTCAACTACGCTGCCATCCCAAGTGTCATGTACACCTACCCTGAAGTCGCCTGGGTTGGCCAGAACGAGGCTGAGGTCAAGGCCTCCGGTGTTGAATACCGCGTTGGATCTTTCCCGTTCAGCGCTAACTCCCGTGCTAAGACCAACCTCGACAGCGAAGGTCAGGTCAAGTTCATTGCTGATGCAAAGACTGACCGCATTCTTGGTGTCCACATCATCGGCCCCAACGCCGGTGAGATGATTGCTGAGGCCACCCTCGCCATCGAGTACGGTGCTAGCTCAGAGGACGTTGCCCGAACCTGCCACGCTCACCCAACTCTCGCCGAGGCCTTCAAAGAAGCTGCTATGGCCACCTACTCCAAGGCCATCCACTTCTAAACTGATTCGCCGAAATAACTACACCGCCCAGATTAAAAGCACCAGGCACCTTGCACTTCTTTGACCATAAACCAAGCTTGATGTTTTGCTTTTTGTGTCCTTATGAGCCTATCCCATAAATCGTGCGCCTCCTGCCAAAAGAATCAAAGAGTACCATCATCTTTCTCCATCCTTTCGACCCCTTTCTACCTCCATCAACACCCCTATCAACATTCCTCAACACCACTTGGCTTGACCTGATGCTACTGTCTATATATCCTTCTCCCGACAAACGACACTATACTCTTTTCTTTTTGGCCATTCTGTAACCATAAACCGGACATGAAGCTAATCTAGAATAAAACTGTATTTCATATTCGTTTTCTTTCCTTTGTTTATCTATATTATTTGAAAAATTTGATCGTGTCAGACACAGAAAAATCCTCTATCGATCAAGGCACATTCTCTAGCCAATCACCGAAAGTTGGTACACATCAACAGCATGCAGATAGGTTCAATTACAATTATCAGTCATACCTTGAGCTATTTTAAACGTCCAAGAAATGAGAAAGGGGGACAAACAAAGGTGGATACCATTACTGCAACAACCTAGGAATCTGGACTGGGCGGGTAAAAGGCCCTGATAGCTGTCCACCTGCCAACGCAGTTCCCTGACCCAAGAGCTGCGGGCCCCTTACTATATTCAACGCATCTACCTGATGGGCACGAGATGTATGGCAACACTCACACGCGCATTGGGGTCCAGCCGTAGTTGGGATGATGGCTGAAGGTAACACCCGAGCTGGTGCAGCAATTGCCGGTCGATTAAGCGCCATGAGAGCTCCTCCTCCTACCCCTGCGGCTATCTGGCCTTGATACGGTTGGCTCTCTATTTGAAGAACATTGTTTGACTGTGCCTGGTGGCCATTGGACCTGGAGCCCTCGTGCTGGGAACAGTAGTAATGGTGATGATGGTGAATTTCATAACGGCTAGAATCTCTGCTCCGACTATGACCTGATCGTCGACTACGGTAGTGATCTCTGTGTCGAGACCGTCTGATGCCATGGTGGCCGTCGCCTGCCCGGTAACCAGTTTCGTCTGAGTCCGAGACATATGTGTAGCTCTCTTCATGTCTACAATTTCGCGTTAGCTTTTTATATTTTCACAGCTAAGCGGAGAGTCTTAGTTAAATACTCGCCTAGGGGCTCTCCATCTTGGGCGTCGGAATCGCTGTCTAGGAGCCTTTTGTCTTGGACGAGGCAGAGCCATGGTATAGTCATCGTCAGATACATCAAAGTAGAAACCTTGGTCCATCATATGTGGGATATTATCGATCCCTTCATGGTAATAGTCATCGAAATCATCGTCGTAATAGGTGGACATGGTGCTAAGTGTGGCAATGATTAGACGGTAGCAGTTTGGTGCTCTAGAAATAATTATTCATAAGGGTAACAAAACACGTTGTAGGGATCCTGCGATTGATAAGAGGGAACCCAAGGCTTAAATGCTCTAAAAAATCAAACAGGCTCTTTGTAACTGCTTGGAGAGGAAACATGTGAGACTGTAGTTATTCATTACGCCAATTTTAAGGGGTCTAGTTATAAGGCGTAGGAAGAATCAGGTAATCAGGAGGTTGATCTGGTGCAGATACCCGTATGCCGGTCAGTTTGCTTTCAGGCCTGAGGTGGTCAGTCAGCTTGGGCATAAAGACATGAGCATTAAAAAACAATCTGCTTAAAGAACGTGATGAAAGCCTGAAGTACGTTTCGATGAGTAATGGGTGCAAGGTGGTATGCAAGAAGGAAGGGGGGACACCCTGGAGACTAGGGCAAACTTTTGCCCTGTGCAACCCCAAACATATGTATGCCTTGGAATTTTAGCCTGTTAGCCTGAGGAGAGTTATTCTCACACATGGAAGGCCACACGGGCTAGGGTTTGGTAGGACAAAGCTAAAACAATTTCTCACTCGGTTGTTATACCTCACCGGCATCTATGTACGCCGGCATTGGCACTCTTCAGGATGGAGGCATATTTGCCTTCTTTACGAGAGCTTCAAAATATGTCCAGATGAAGTTGTCATACTGTTGAAATAGGTCATAGCTGGAGCATATGGTTTAATCCAGTTTTCTACGACGGCCGTCAGCAAATCACAAACTGCTTCAACGGCGTCGTTGCGGGAAGCACCGCAGCTCTCGATATAAACTAAGAATCAAGGTGTTAGCCAATGCATTTTCCATTATAGGGCTAGGTTGAATTGTTAACTATAACTTACTCTTAACCTTCGGCTCAGTGCCTGAGCCTCGAATTGTAAACCGAATGCCTCGATGTGACCATATAGTGAGCATCTGACTCGCGGGATCTACAGGAAGCACTGGCCGTTTATCCGCAGTATCTGAGTCGTAACCTCTGGTCATATCTCTCCATCTATGGATAGGGAATGACCCGATAGTACCCTGAGCATCAAGAGTATTCTTTCGGATGCTCTCGAATAGAGAAGTAGTGCTTTTCGTGTCTGGCGAGACGAAGTAGGTGTTGAGATTTTCATGGTATCCATATGTTTCGTAGAGCTGTTCAAGCTTCCCGAATGGAGTCAGGCCCTGTTCTTTCCATTTCGCCTCAGCTGCTAAAAACACCATGGCAGCGGTGAGTCCATCCTTGTCATAGCAAACTTTCGTGAACATGTACCCAAGAGCTTCTTCAAACGCAAACGGTACTTCGTAGCCTCGGGCTTCAAGCTGTCGGGCAACATTCCCCATCCACTTAAATCCAGTTAAAGTTTCTTCGAAATGGAAGCCTTCTTTCTCGGCCATTTTCGATAGCATGTTCGACGAAACTGCAGAGTTTAGCATAGCCATAGGTTTTTCTGACTTCTTATTCTTCCATAAATCCAGGAGATGCGATGCCAGTAGAACTCCTATATGATCTCCAGTGAACCTAAACCAGGAACCACTTTAAAGCTGTTAATAGGGGCCATCGAAAAGAAGAAGTTGAAAATTACGTACTTGACCTTTTCAGCAGCAGCGAAACGATCTGCATCTGGATCGTTGGCGACTATTAAAGTTACACTAGACTTATCTGCTGTTTTCATGGCTAGATCTAAAGCACCATTTTCTTCTGGATTTGGGAATTTAACGGTCGAAAAGTCAGGGTCAGGCTGCTCCTGCTCAGGAACCGTTATGATTCCGTCAATGCCCAAGGAAGCGCAAAGTTTATACATAGTAGCGTGACCAACGCCGTGCATTGGTGTATAAACAAATTTACTGGGCGGTCGCCAGTTATCAACGGTTGATTTCTGCAGGCAGTCAGTGTACAAACGAAGTTCTCGAGGTATGACAGGGCTGTGTAGAAACTAACAGCGAAGCGATTGACGGTTTCACAATAAAGGGCTGAGACCTCATTATGTAGATCTGATTCTCTGGTCTGAGGACCGTCTATTCCGCGCCACGCATTGGGCCAAGGAACCAAGTTGGTCCTGATTGATTCTGCTATCTGGCCATCAATCGGGGAGTTGATCTGGGCTCCGTTTGAGAAGTATCTTTAACCAACGAGTTAGTATAACCCCCAAAATCTTACTAGGAGGTGGTTGCTAACACTTTGTATCCTATATTTAAAAGGTCAGCCAATCGAACAGAGAGTAGAAATCAGTGGGTGTAGCTGTCAATACCATTGTCTTGTGCCGGGTTCTATTCATCAGTTAGCTAAATCTCATACTTCCAGCATTGGAGATGCAGAACTTACATGACTAGCTGTAACCATGACTCCGGCATCTGCCTTCTTCAGCAGAACAGCAAAGGGCACAAACGGAGTTGGATTAACATCATCATACCACCACACATGTATACCTTCGGCCTCAAAGGCGTTTGCTGCAAGGAAGGCGAACTTCTGAGAGTTGTGTCGAGCATCACGGCCAATCACCACTGACGGCTGTTCTGTGCCCTTGTGTGTTGTTTTGATAAACTTGGCCAGCCCCTGGGAAGCCTGGATGACGGTAAGAGAATTCATGCATGAGAAACCGGCTTGCATCCTACCCCGTAGGCCAGCAGTCCCAAACTGAATGCCTACATATCTGTTAGGAACTCCATATTTTGATCTGGCAGGGTTTCCACGCACGCTCTCGTAGGCGCTTCTCTAGGCCGGCATCATCTTTGTCTGCCTGGAGCTTCTCGATCTCCCTGCGAGTGGAAGGGTCCTGATCCCATTCTAACCACCGCTGGATGAGGGTATCAAGTGGTTCCTACAAACACGTCAGCCGTTGTCCCGTCTTGTACCAATAGCATGCAACTAGATGGTAATTCGTATTTGGATGTCCCGCACATGAAAGGAGAGCAACCCACCATGATTAGTTAGTCTACGACAAGCAGCTAACTATTATTCCAGGCTGACAACGTAACTGTCTAATATAAAGGGGGCCTCACAAGTAGACAAACCACCACTCTGTAGTTATCCAAATGCTGTGTGTAGAATCCAAGATGAAGGACGTCGTCGAGTCGGAGTTTCAAAAGCAAAAATAAAGCCACAGGTCGGGGATGTCTTGGCGCTGGAGATGCCGAAAAGGGACGCCCGCAAAAAAAAAACGACGAACCTCGACTTCATCTCCTTTCCTGCGGCATCTCACGCCACTCTCGACCGTGGCGTGTCGGGTCTTCAGCTGTCTCATCTACGAGCTTCGTTTCCCTCCGTGTCGAGCATGCTGTGAGCTATTCGATCCGACTCCTTTGAAGCTCAGAACCTTTCGCTGGTTATAAACTGCTCCTTGTGGTTCACAGACCGCCGAAAGCTTCTGCCTGACGACGCCATGGCTGCTTCACGCAAAAGCACCGTCTTGACAAGAAATGAGATAGGGAAACAGATCGCGGATGGAAGGCATATCGTCATCTTCGAGGGCAGGGTGCTGAAGCTGGATGCATGGTTGCCCTTCCACCCTGGAGGTGATAAAGCTATCCAGCATATGGTTGGCAGGGATGCTACCGATGAGATAAATGCGTATGTCTAAGCGTTTATCATTTTTGTCGCCGCAGGA